CTTTTGCATCAGAAAACAATCCACGAAGGTCGAAAAGACTACGCATGCGACAAGTGCGATAAGAAATTTGGACAAAAAAGTAGCTTACTTTTGCACCAAAGGACGATTCATGAAGGTCGTAAAGATTTCGCATGTGGCAGGTGCGAGAAAAAATTTGGAGAAAAATCGATATTGATCAGACATCAAAAGATAATACACGAGGGCCGCAAGGATTATGCTTGTGATAAGTGCGAAAAGAAATTTGGACACAAATGGACTTTGCTTATACACCTAAGGACAGTACACGAAGGTCGCAAAAATTATGCTTGCGACAAATGCGAGAAGAAATTTGGACGAAAAGCGACTTTACTTGTGCACCAAAAGACAGTACACGAAGGTCTCAAAGATTATACTTGTGATAAGTGTGAGAAGAAATACGGACGAAAATCGGATTTGCTAAAACACCAAAAATCAGTCCACGAGGGTCGCAAAGATTTTACATGTGATAACTGCGAGCAAAAATTTAAACAAAAATCACATTTGCTTTTGCATCAGAAAACAATCCACGAAGGTCGAAAAGACTACGCATGCGACAAGTGCGAACGAAAATTCGGAACAATATCAGATTTGTTTCGACACCAAAAGACAGTACATGAAGGTCGAAAAGATTATTTCTTCTTTCTCTCGCTATATCTCGCTAAAATCAAAAAACGCCTCTCTGGAAAAGGTCTATATCGATGGGAAATTTCCTGATCTTTCTATCTAGACTATTTAAAAAAATCTTAAAAATGAAGTTTTCGAGATAATCGACTTTAAAGTTTTCCCAGCGATTTTCCCGGGTAAAGCGGAAAATTTCGGAAAATCTGACCTCACCATCGGAAAGATGAGGCGATTTCCCATCGAAATCATGGGTTCGTTTTTTTCTCTAGGTCCATTTTAGTACTTTTACAGCGATTCACAAATTTAGTGATTTGGCTTAATTCTGCCGTGCCGCGCGGCACTGGGAGAGTTGACGTGAAATGCCACATATTCATCTTCACAATACCTGTTTTAATAATGTAATGATTAATTGCTTATACAAATTTCTTGAACTATCATGCCAGTATGAATGTGTCTTACCTAAACCTTGTGCTATCGATTATCATTACACCTTCGTTCCCTATCGGGGTGATGCTTTATTTTTTAAGCGGAAAAATATTAATAAGTTACTCTTTGTCCATTTTTTAGCCGGTGCAATAATCGGGCGAAAATTTTTTCACGTCTTGTAATGGAGCTTAAATTGATCCACCATGCGCTGATAAAAGATTTCGGTAAATAATTTATATATTAAATAAAGGTATGATCAAGTAATTTAAGGAAAATTAAAGACTGGTTTGCTATTAGACGATAAAATTTAATCATTACAGTTGTGTCTCGAGAATTCGTTTGTTCCGCTTGTCCGACATTTAGTCAGCGGGCTGAAAATTTTGGAATGAATATACAATTTTTTATAATTTACTATACAAGTACAAAGGGATTTATTAATTGGACATTTCATAAAGTTTTTTTAATTTTGCACGATCGTCACCAAGTTAGAATTTTATACTGGTTCAAATTTGATAAGACAATATATATACGTCGATAATTTAATTGTAAATAATATGATCGTAAACGATTTTAGCATCCTTTCTCGACACACTGATTATGTTTATAGTGAAAATAACTTAGTTTGAATGTTGTCTTTCCCTGTGAAACAAAGTCATTTCACCACAAAGATAAATTTTATTCATTCAATTTTTGTGTCACCAAATAGAAAGATCCGTCTTTATATCAAAATGGATAAAAGAGAAAATAAATTCGAAGAGTTCATAACAAAAGAAAATTTACGTGAACTAGACATTAATGTTTCAGACAACAGACAACAGGTAAGTGATATTGGTCAAGAGTCATTTACACTAGACTCAAGTATGATAACAAATCGAGAGACAATTCACACTGAACGAAAAAATTACGAATGCAACAAGTGCAAAAAGACATTTGAGTTCCGAAGTCATTTTAATAGACACCAAATATTAGAACACAAACGCCGCAACGATTTTGCATGCGACAGATGTGAGAAGAAATTCGTGAAAAAATCAAGTTTGTTCACGCACCAAAAAATAGTACATAAAGATAGCAAAGATTTCTCATGCAACAAGTGCGAGAAGAAGTTTGAAAATAAATCGATTTTACTCAAACACAACAAAATATTCCACGAAGTTTTCAAAAATTATTTATGTGAAATATGCGCCAAGAGATTTGATTCAAAACATAGTTTGCTCTGGCACATAAAAACAGTCCACGAGGGTCCCAAAGATTTTGCATGCGACAAGTGCGGAGAGAAATTTAGAAAAAAAACGCATTTAATCATCCACCTAAGAACAGTACACGAAGGTGGCAAAAATTACTTATGTGACAGTTGCGGGAAGAATTTTGGAGATAGAAGCAATTTGAAAAGACATAAAAATACAGTTCACGAAGGTCGCAAAGATTACGCATGTAACAAATGCGAGAAAAAATTTGGAAGTCGATCAGATGTGTTAAAACACCAAAAAACAGTACACGAAGTTTGCAAAGATTATACTTGTGATAAGTGTGAAAAGAAATTCGGACGAAAATCGGATTTGTTAAAGCACCAAAAATCAGTCCACGAGGGTCGCAAAGATTTTACATGCGATAACTGCGAGCAAAAATTTAGACAAAAATCACATTTGCTTTTGCATCAGAAAACAATCCACGAAGGTCGAAAAGACTACGCATGCGACAAGTGCGAACGAAAATTCGGAACAATATCAGATTTGTTTCGACACCAAAAGACAGTACATGAAGGTCGAAAAGATTACTCATGTGACAAGTGCGAGAAAAAATTTGGAGAAAAATCGATATTGATCAGACATCGAAAGATAATACACGAGGGCCGCAAGGATTATGCTTGTGATAAGTGCGAAAAGAAATTTGGACACAAATGGACTTTGCTTTTACACCTAAAGACAGTACACGAAGGTCGCAAAGATTATGCTTGCAATAAATGCGAGAAGAAATTTGGAGAAAAATCGCATTTGCTCAGGCACCAAAAGACGATACATGAAGGTCAGAGAAATTTCGTATGCGACGAGTGCGAGAGGAAATTCGGATGTAAATCAAATTTGCTTTTACACCAAAAGACTGCACATGAAGGTCGCAAAGATTACCCATGCGACAAGTGTGAAAATAAATTCGGACAAAAATCAGATTTGTTGAAGCACCAAAGAAGAGTTCATGAGGGTCGCAATGATTATCCATGCGAAAAGTGCGAGAAAAAATTTAGGGACATACACGATCTGACCAGGCACTACAAGTCAGTCCATGAAGGTCGAAAAGATTTTGCTTGCGAAGTGTGCGGGACGAACTTTGCTCAAAAAGTGCACATGGTTATCCACCAAAAGACAGTACACGAAGATCGCAAAGATTTCACATGCGATAAGTGTGAGAAGAAATTTGGGCTTCAGAGCAATTTGATAAAACACCAAAAATTAGTCCACGAAGGTCGTAGAGATTTCATATGTGACACGTGTGAGAAGAAATTTAGAAATAAATATAATTTACGCAACCACCAAAAGACAATACACGAAGGTCGCAAAGATTTCATATGCGATAGGTGCGAGAGAAAATTTACACGTAAATCAGATTTGTTGAGGCACCAAAGGGTAAAACATTAAGGTCGCCAAGATTACCCATGCGGCAAAAGCGAGAAGAAATTCGGATATAAATCAGATTTACTGAAACATCAAAGGACATTACACGAAGGTTGCAAAGATTTCACATGCGAAAGGTACGCGATCAAAATTTACTTTCAAAATACAGTTGATGAGGAACCAAAAATTATTACACTAAGCTTACAAAAATTATGCATGAAAAATGTGCGAGAAAATATCATGCATGTTCTACATCGAAACTCCATAAAATTTTTATAAACTGTATTTCTGATAATTCTTGACGATTGTCACTTGTCTTTATCATAAATATGATAAAATTTGTTCTTCATAGATGCAAATATATTTCCTAATTTTGATTTGCTTACCATTATTAGTTTTTATGGTAATGTGCAAAAAGATGCATAAAATAAGAATCAATTTAACAAATTTTAAACGAATTGTTAGAAAAAAATGTGTAGATTGTGGATAACAGTACATATTCTAGAATATATTGACTCTCGAAATGTTTTGGCTAATTTTATTTTACATAATAAAATGACCTAATTATATAATAATCATATTTATCATGACAAACCTATTACTTATAGTATATTAATTTATTCTCACACGAATTTCTTGAACTCACCGCAGTCATAAGCTTGGAATAGTTTCTCAGAAAATAGCATACATGTTATTAGTTAAATAATGAAAAGTGCTCATTTATATCATGAAACTTTGTAAATATACATAGATACTTATCCAATATGTTTTTTTTAATGTCAATGAAAATTTTTCCAAAATGATTGTGTCTGAACTAAATCTCGTACTTCCAAGTGAATCTTACACATTTGTGCACTGACGACTAGGTGGAATTTGGCGTACTGTTCATTGCTACTCTTGGTGCATTTTTTTAGCGATCTGGTTCCCGCAAGCTCTCAACGTAATAATCAGCCGGGAATTTTTTCATGTTTTGGGAGCTGTCGATAAAGCAAGCGTTTAGTTGCCTACTGGATTTTCGATGAACCTCGAATAATGATCAACATGAAAATATAAAAAAATGCTAACGATAAAAAAGTCTTCGAGTTAGACAAAGAATTTGCTTGAATGTTTTTCATAATTTTGAAGAACATCTATCCTAAATTTAATTGTTGAATGTGAATCTTGTGAATGGAAATCAGAACTTTTTCTGCATCAAAAAGTACAAAAATACAAGCTCGTACTACAATAAAAACTCATTGGCATCCATGAACTAAATTGAAAGCACTTACGTCAAGGCATCTTAAATTTATAAAAGTATAAAAGTATTTAAAATCGGCGGGGTTAGTACTTTTCAAATTTCATTTATTATTTATTTTATAAGGATAAGAAAAAGAATAAGCCCATGTAACATGGCTCCAATTAAAAAGATAGCTAAACTGGCACCTCGTTACAAGATAAAATATAGACAGCCGTCGACCACGCTGTTCTTGCAGAAGATTCGACAGTGACGCGTTATTGGAAATTTCGGCACGAATGTAAACAAGTACTCGCGATCCATACGAGAGATCCATAAGAGAGTTTTTTAAAGACGTTTTTAGACGTCAAAAGCAATCGCTACTTACAGATTATTTTCTTGAATGAATTAATAAAAAAAACTCAAATTGAAGCATACAAAATAACTGGGTACGTATAATACATAACCCCATAAAAGGGACGCCAGTAATCGTATTTTTTTTTTTTTATTTTTGTACCAGTTAGTTCAGTACTTTTTATGTAGAAGCATTTTTTTTATAAAAGTAACAGTTAACTGACGCTTGAATTTTCATACTAAATATTGCATATTCAAATAGACTGACAGATATATTAATAAAAATTTTTAACCATCTAAAAGACTCCGATGGTAAAATAATTCTGAAATTATTAATAAAAACGTTTATCTATTTTTCTCTGACTATATAAACAGCATTATAATAGAATAACAAATTATTTTGATTTAAGGATTATTGAGCATAATGGAAACGGTGAATATGGACGACTGCTGTCTACGCGGTTTTGTGAAAGATGAATGTCATAAGGATACCTATCGAGCACACCAAAGTACGCACAAAGTTAGTACATTGCCGGAGGAAGAGATGAAACTTCTGTACTCGAGAGTACCTGGGTTACAAGAAATTGAAGAAAAGTCAATATGTGATTACCATTACAGGAAATATATTACTTATTATTCGGCAAATTATTCCAAATGTTGTGATCCGTGGAAGAACCATAAAAAAAATATAACACAATATTTGAGAATAATTGATCTGGACTTTTCGGAGAAAGTCAAGCAAGCATGCAACATCAATATTGTACCTGGTCAAAAATTTTGTTCCAATTGTCAGAAAAGGCTCTCTGTTATCGTTGAAAAGTTTGAAATTGATAGGATGTTTTGCATAGATCCATTTCAAAGACATAGAAGCATGATTGACGATGATCTTCGTAATTTGACTAGAGAGTATATAGATCATTTGAAAGAAAACCACGATTTAAATTTGACCGTAGAGCATAAAGTTTGCCGTAATTGCCGTTCCTCGCTAAATTATGAAATTAGAGGTTCTCAGCAATCTTCAACGGCAAAAGAAGAAGATTTAGAAGAAGATTCGTCTTCAACCGAATCCTCGGCTTCTTCCACGACATCTTCAGAAGATTCAGTATCAACGGCATCCTCGGATTCTCCTCCACCAAATAAAACCAATTCGCGAAAAACAAATAAGGTATCAAATAAAAAAAAATGTACTAAAAGTTCGTCAACGCCAGCATTAGAGTTGAGCACTCGAAAGCGACATCTTAAAGACATATTCGACGTTTTTGATATTGCTCCGGTGAAACGTCCAAGAGTGGCCGATAAACGTTTGCTTCAAAAAGGTTTGAAGATCATTCAGAAAGTCGCTAGTCAGGTATCGGAAACTTTTCAAGACGTTTATAATGTAAGAATGCCAAAATTGGATCGTATTTACCAATGGCATAACGAAAGTATCTGGTTGAAGAAGATGATAAGAAATATGCAAATCAAGTATCGCGTTTCTTCCTACAATGAGAGGATATCGTTATTAACTTTTTTACCCGATGATTGGAACTTGGAACAGATAAATGAATACTTTCATTGCTCGGAGGACATGGTCAGCGAGGCTAATAAATTGAGACAAAGTATTGGTACGTTTAAAAATATCGGTCGATTTATGACTTTTTGATTGGAAAAAATTTTACTTACATGAAAATCATTTACTTTTAGGTAAAAGTAAGAAAAAGAATTGAGGACGTATGATTTCAACAATATCTTCGGGTGACATCTCACCATTCTACAAAGACTCAAAGCGACTGTTACTCTTAATATAATTAATCAAAAAAATAGATATAAATACTGGTGCCTTGACAATGGATTTTGAGGAAAATTTTCCATTTTTATCTCAAAACTCTACTCTCGACTAAAACTTTATCAATAATAGTGACACGCGACTCACATCAATGCAGAAAACTAAGAGACAATGATATAAAGAAATATTGCTCTGATCGTCAAGCTATTGATATAGTACTATACTTGATTAAATAAAAACATCAAGTTTATGCATAAAAAGAATTATTTACTTCTCTGATCTTATAACATCAGTTTTAAAAAAGTAAGTTTATTCTAACTTCATACGTACGGTTTTTCAATTATATCATATCTTCCCAACAATATCTATATTACAGAAATCACCAAGTAAATGTTAGTCAGTGTGAGATTGATTTTTCTTTGAAAATAAAAGTTTATCAATTTCATTTCGACACCGCATGAAAAAAGATGCAATGGTATTGGAATAAGATGTGCAGCTTAAAAAGCTTCCTAACACTGCGCAATGATTCTCAATGTTAAGTACTACCAAGATGAAATTGAAATAGTCTTGTACAAGCTTATTAAGTAGTGATTTTTTGAAATTAAAAAATATTTTTGAACAATTTTGTTATCATTTATTATCATTATGTTCCTAATGACCATGTTTACTGATTATATATTTACTGCAGTGCCATTCAATCAAAGAATTGAGCAATTTTACACGTACAGTGAAAGAAGTTATAATCATTTACACCTATAATATATTCGTCTCAGCGAATGTACTATGTAGTATTTGGCGAATTATTAATATGGCATATTTGATTTTTTTTATGTATTTTTTTTATTTTGATTAAAAATGGTTCACACAATCCACGAAGTATTGCAATAATATATTGCTTTCAAATATAAATCAATTGAAGAAAAAGACTCAATGGAATACTTGTGACACATAAAACAAATAAAAAAATAAAACTTTACTTAAATTAGCTTAAGATAAGTATCAAAACTATATTTGATCACAGAAACACGCGCTTACGCGTTTCTATCATTGGCATCTCGCATTTGATGAAAGTCTGTAAAGATAAAAAATGAGTATTTTAATTCGAACATTTATAGAAACAATGCGAAAGAGAAATGTAGAAAAAACTTACGAGGTTCAGGTGGCACCATGAATCTCAATGGCATCGGTGGACGAATGGGCATGGGAAAACGTCCTCTGCCTATGGGAGGCGGAACCGGTACCCTCATACCTGGTAAACTCGACTCCATCATCATTGGCGGTCTCGGAGGGAATCCCTGTTGAGGTAATTTTATTCACGTGTAGTCGAAATAAAAAATCACTTTTGTACTTTACAAGATAGTTTTCGTGAAACTTACGCTGTAAAATACCGGATACGGTATGTAAGCCGGCTGTGGTGGCTGTCGCTCTTCCGACTGTCTTCGGCTAAAAGTACGGAAACAATCAATATCGCTCGATAATGAAAAATACAAACGATTAGATTTGACGTGAATAATACCGTGAATGATGACGTTCATCTCGATGATAGCGATCATCTCGATCTCTTGAATCGTAACGACTCCTCGACGATCTTCGATGCTCGGATATGTCTCGATGACGATGGGAATCTTCTCTACGGTGGCTTCTTTCGCTGGAGTAGCTTCTTCTAAAAAGGATTATTCATTTTAAAAGGTGATCAGAGCAGATAATTTTCTTATATAAACGATTAGTTTACCTATCGGAATTCCTGTGATGGTGTCTATCTTCTGAACGAGTCTTCGGATATTCTTCGTACCTAAAATTGTTATTACAATGATGATCACGTCTGGATCGATGATTAAAAAAATTGGAAAAAAAAGGAGTGCAAACCTAGAGCGATGTGAATTAGAGCTAGAGTGGTCGACGCGCTTGCGTGGACTAGGACTTCTGTTTTTGGACCGACGCGGACTTAACGATCGAGATCTTCGTTCGCGAGGACTTTTCGCTATTGAAATCAAAACAACGGATGATTAATTAACTTTGGGGTAATTTTTGTTTACTTATCGAATTCATTATCGGAGTGCATCGAAAATGTACCTGGGTTACTTTTATGAATAACCGTGACAGAACGACGCTCTTCGACGTCTTCATTCGATGAATGATTCTTGAATTCTTCTCTCTCAAATAGAGGCTTGGCTCCTTCTCCTGTTATTAAATTGTTAATGAAAAATTATTTTCTGAGGCTGAGGTCAAACGTATTATTCATATTAATTTGTTAAATAAAATTTCATGATGATGAAAAACCAGATGCATTCAGATCTACGCTTTATTTTTCAAAGCTGCATTGCACGTAGTTTTTATCATTCAGATAATCAAATAAAGTTTATTTTTAATGTTTCTTCAGAGACGTAAAAGTACCTTTTTCAGACGTCGGTTCTTGAATGGACGTTTATGAAGTACTTTGGATTGAAGCTTAAAAAAAGTGAAATTAATTGGAAATTAACTGACATTTTTATGTTAAAAATAATAATTAAAGTTTTTGTCACCATAAAAGACGATTCTACCGAAGCGATCACGATAATTACAATGAACCCATTGAAATTAATATGAAAAATGTAACTTGACAGTTGAACTATTTTATCTTCCGAGTTGAATACGACTAAAAATTTAGCTGTAACGCATTTGTCAAGAATTATTTAATCTTCCGTGTTGTTTTAAATCTTCAATTGTTGATTTCATTTAACCCAAACCGATCGTTAAGTTGCACACCGGTTGTGCTTCATTTTTCATTGCCATAATAATTTTTCAAGGATTGTCGCGCGCCTCCTGTTACAAGTTCAGTCAATTCAGCATTCGATTAAAAATATAGTGGCGATTAAAAGTGTAAATAATTATGAAGGTATCAATAGTCGTTCTCGAAATTGTTATAGCGAAATTGTTATATGCGAAGATTCATTGTTACAATATGTATTCAAAAATAAATAAATATTAATCTTCAGTGTTGACCAATCTCGATAGTATGTTTGATCTTCCGTGTTGACTAATCTTGATAGTTTGTTTAATCTTCAGTGTTGTTTTAAATATTAAATCATTGATTTGATCTTGTTGGTAGATTTATTATTAAGATAGAATTCTTTTTAGAAATTATTTTTTAAATTCAATTTTTTAAATAATTACGTATCTAATTTAAATAAATCAAGTTAAATTAATTTAAAATCTTATAACCATAACTTGTAATTGTTCATTAAATAAAAATATGTAATAAAAGTGGTGACATTTAAAGCAACTTTACCATGTTGTTAGAAACACATCATTTATGAAAAAAAACGAAAAAAATACATTGAAAAGTTTTTGTATCTTCACAGAAATATGCATTAAGTTGTCGACTGCAAACATCTTCATGTTGTACAATTGGAAACCATATAATTCATTTGCTAGAATTCAATGTATCAGACGCATTCAAATTGACTTTTTACATCAATTTTCATAGATCGTTACATTGAGTTCGTAAAAGCAGTGAAAAATATAGTTGACAATTGTCATCTTCACCTGTTAAAACTCAGACAACTTTTAATGCATAAAAAATTTTTAAGCGTACCTGCTACAATTGGTTTCTCATTTTTCGATTTCGACAGCTGCAAGTGACAAACGATATCGCCTTTCAAAATTGATTAGGCGATTGAATATAACATTTGCAAATTACCATTTCTTCTGCACAAAATAACATCTTCTGGATAAATTAATCCATACTTGATTTGCTGACTTTCAGTATTGGGGCTTGGCGAATCTTTATCGTTTATAACTACCATCTTTATCAAGTCTCCTGGATTATCTTTTCTAGCTCCTTCTGGCCGATTAACAGAAGATTTCTCGTCCCCTGAGTTGAATCTACAAAAGTATTAATCAAATAGACATTTCACAGCTCTGATTTCGGGAAAGTAACAATATTTATAATCAATCTACCGACCTATTAGACATAACATCCGAACGATCATTTATATGTTTCGAGGAGTCTCCACGGTGAGAAGAATCATCGGAATGACCAGATATTTTACCAGACTTCGACTTGAGCATTTCGCGTCGTTTTCGTTCGTATTCTTCAATTTTTTTCCTTTTCTTGCGTTCATACTCACGAGCCTTCCGTTGCAGTATCATCCATTCTATTCTACGTTGTTTTCTCTCTTCGTCCAACTCTTGTTCAACGGGAACTTTTTCGCAGTTATTGCTCGTCTCCATAGCTTTTTGAAGATTATTACGACTGGTTCAAAATTTTAAAAAAACTTCACGATGTTTGGTAGTGATAATCACTTTTAAAAAAAGCTTTGAGTTTCATTAATAATGGCACTTGATAATCTTCTCTCAAAAATTAATGACTATATTTTCACAAAACACTCGGAAAATGGATGAAATTGTGTTTTCAAGTATTTTAGATGAGCTACACAGAGCCTTTAGTAAACTACACGTGTCGGCGGGCATCGTGGCACTGCTTTACTTTGCCAGTATACAGACGCGCGCGCGTATCGCTATACACTTTCACCTCATATGCACACGCGTTGGAAGTCGAAAACCATGGGTCAGCGAACCGACATAATAATAATATCACACTTTCCAATATCGATGCGTTCGAAAGATGATCGTGACGTCTTCATTTCATGAATTACTTTCAAATTCTTCTCATTTAAAAAAGAGCATAACTTCTTCAACGTTGAAATTTGACAATTGAACTGCTTTACCTCCCAAGTTGCTAAAAATTCAGTAATAACGTAAATCTTCCTTGTTGTTTTATATCTTCAATCGTTGATTTCAATTTGTGGATTGATTCAATGTTTAAATCCAACCTTTTTTAGAAAATTAATTTTTATTTTAAAAATTTTCGATCTTCAGTGTTGATTTTTCGTGATGATTAAATTGTGCTGTTCATTGATTTAATTTATAGTGTCTTGATAGTTTTCAATCATAAATAGATATTAACAGAGCGAAAAATAAATTTTAATAGAAGCTACTATGCAAATCAATTAAATAAATAATGTTTTCATTTAATAAAATAATTAATTCATTCTTCATGAAGTTTCTTCCTTAAACATTTAGTATCTTGACTGATGAATATTTTTTTAAATCTTCTGTGTTGTCTCAAATCGTTTATCATTGATTTTAGCTTTCCTTCAGATTTATTTAATATTTATATCAAATACTTTTTGAGATTAAATAATCAAAATTTTTTCAGAAAGTTATTAAAATATTTGTATATTCAGAGAAAAATGTTTGAATAATATTTATTGCAAATTTTAATAAAAAATTGAGTTTATTCTCCACCGTGTTGGAATACACGTCCAAATGTCAAATATCTCTTGGTCTTTAGTTTGCGCCAAAATTTACATGAACAAAAATGTAACTCTAACTAATAAATATTTGGATAGAGTCGAGTGATAAATGATTAGTTAGTGCAATAACAAAGAAGTATGCGAAATAAAAAACTCAAAGCAAAAAAACGATATTTTCAGCTTTGAGCAATCGTGTGAAAGTACAGCACTTTCGCAAAACTTTAATGAGTTTATAGAAGATTTTCTCTCAATATACATACAAGTTTTGCAAAAATTCTCTCTTTCGAAAGATCATTATAGCTTAGTTTACGCTCGCCTCGTTGTCATTTTACCAACGAAATAATTTATGACTCGGCTCTAACTAAATTTTTATTACGAAACGTTGCATCTTGTTCATGTCAATTTTGGTATTCTTGACGTTGGCACGATCGAACACAATAAGATCCATCAGCTAGAATTCAACGGGTCTGATCCATTGAAATCGAAGGAAAACTTGTCGCGGGTAATTTTTCTTTCGATTTAATGGATCACCTCGTCGAGCTCATAAAAGCCATGAAAATTATATAGCGTCCAATCGTCGCACTTCGAAAAATTGTAGCGTTTACAAGGACTTTCAAGTCAAAGGTACTTTGAGAGCACTCCAAGTAAATTCTACTTATGGATGTCCAAGTAACCACCACATATCTATTTTCGCAGTGCATCTTCACCTGAGTAATTTAGACGAGATTATAATTTTAACAAATTTTAAAGCGTACCTTCGCTGGTTGGTTACAAACTTCTGGCTTCTTATCGGTCGCTATCAACTGCAAGAGACTAGCGATATCGCTTCACGTAATTTAGTAAGCGATGTAAAATAACATCTTAAATTACCATTTCTCCTTTTGAGAGAAACATCTTCCGGGTTAATTAACCCGTACTTGAGTGGGCCATGTTCTACGGCAGAACTTGGAATATTACGATCAATTTTAACCACTATCGTTCTTGACTCTTCTGGACTGATTTTTCTCGCTCGCTCTGGTCCGTTGAAAAATGGCTTCTTGTCCTCCGAGTTGAATCTGTTAAAAAAATTGTTTATAAAATAGAAAGAAATTCGTAGCAAACTGATAATACTTGTAATCGATCTACTGACTTTTTGGACATAACATCCGAGCGATCATTTCTGCTCTTCGAGGAGTATCGATGCTGCGAGTCATCGGAATGGTTGGAGGATTTGTCCACCGACTTCGACTTGAGCATTTCCAGTCGTTTGCGCTCGTATTCCTCGATTTTTTTCTGCTTCAGGCGCTCGTGCTCGCGAGCCTTCTGTTGCTGTATCATCCACTCCAAACGACGCTTTTTTCTTTCCGCCTCTCGGTCTTCGTCATCGTCGTACTTGTTACTTGGCCTCATATTTATTTATTAAAAGAAAAAATAAATGTCGTGCTGTTAGAGGTTAAAATTAATTAAAAAACACTGTACACAATTTTTAGTCGAGCTTATCACTTTCCGATAAGCTTAATTTAAAAGCACACTGAAAAAGCTTCTCTGAAATTTGAATAAATATTGTATTACGTAGCGCAAAAAATAAATAAAATTGTATTAACTAATTTTTCAGATGTGCTGTGTAATCTGGCGTCGCGTGCTACAGGCCGCCTGCCTTCCTTAAAAAAGTAAGTGTGTCGACTGCGCACTATGTTACCATCATGTAACGGTGCGTCACATGTACATACGCACTTACATTTCTGGCACTAGCGCGGCTATTTTTTAAGTGCTGCCTTTTTTAAGATCACCACAAATACTTCTAATCGTGCGATTAACCATGGAGTGGTCAATGAATGCCCTATAAGCTCAACTTAGCTTTATGCAGTTATTATTTTCTAGTGTAAGTCATCCCCTTGGATTCGAAAGTGAAATTGATTTATAATAATAATGAACTCGATATTCTATTCAATTATGCACACACGTATAAGAGTTTATTTTATGCTAAAAAAATAAAAATACAAAATAAAAATGAACCCTTATAGAACTAAATCGATTCATCCTATGAGTTGGAATCGTATAATGGTTTGCTTCGATGTATCAAATGCTTATTGTAGGTCTATATAAACCCATATTAATACGTTTAATTATTACTAAATATCTAACTGATCATTTTCAACTGAAGTATTAAAAATAATTGTTACGTCTTTTAAAAAAAAAATGTTTTCAATTTCACCATCTAATACTATAAATAGAACATTAAAAACACTTAAGCCCGCTTTGAGCCGTAATTTGGTTTCATAAACTAAAGATATCCTCTTGAACATGTATTCAGACAGTACGCGACATTTCTTAATTTTTGGTTGTATTCTGTAAGGCGCTGGCTTTACGGTAGAAGAAGCATAAAAGCGAGATTAAATCAAACTCAAAACTATTTGTTAGAAAAAGTCATCGTTAAAAAAGTGCCTGAAAAGGGGCGAAGGAGACATTTTTAAAGTATCATTGGCACGAGAATCATATCTTCATAGAGTTTAAAATTGCACTTATCAATAACCATTTTTAATTCCAGCCCCGAGATTATACTACTCGTTTATCCAGTTTCCTACCACGTGCAATAAAAAAAAAACATTAACTTTTCTTAGTCAATTTCGAGAACGACCATTGATCCCTCCATGTTTATTTATACTTTCAGCCTCCATTATATTTTAATCGCAATCAGATAATTTTAATTGATTAAAAAGATTAATGACACTTGAAGATCCTGTAAAATGAAGACAATACTATAATACTTATTTTAAACTAGATTCAGGACGAATTTTTCCGACCGCTTAAGAAAAATTCTCACTTTTCTCGCTCATAAAAAACTTCTCATGACGTTGAAGAATTTTTCTAACAATATCTTCTAATAGCAAAAAACGACAATAGGCAAAAAGAGCTAGAAATATTGTTAAAAAATTTAAAGCTATAGTTTTGGGTCATTCTATTGAGCTGTTAATGTCTTTGTAACTTAAGTTCGTTTATTTCTTCATTCTTAATTACTTTCAATATCATAAGTAAATAAAGAAATTGATAAGGTAGCTTTTCTTAAAATTAAATAAAAAACGATTATTTGAAAACTATTATTGCAGCTTTCAAAACTGAATAGACTATTTGAAAGAAAAGCCTAGATTTCGACTAGATTAGTGATAGTAAATCTCTTTTGTCGTATACGATTTATAATTTCAAAGGAATTTAATTTAAAAGTATAATACCCAGAATTGTGAAAATATTATTTGATTGTATTAAAAATATTTTTATATACACAAAAAAAAGCTCTAAGTTTAATAAAAAAAAACCCCCATTTTATAATGTTTTTTCTTAAAAACTAGTTATTATTTTTTCTCGAAACTCACCTAAAAAAATAAATGAAATTATTCACTCAATACTTTTTTAGATGAGTTGCAGTTTGGAGCTTCGTGCGGCATTGCACCGGTGTCGTGCATGCTGTAGCAAGTAGCCAGCAGACGCACGCGCGTCGCGCGCTGCATGAGTCAATTCCAAACCCAAAATTTCATCAGTCAGTCAGAATACCGAGAGCCGGTGCGTTATACCCAGTACCACGCGTTAACCTTAGTTTTCATTGTAAACAATAATAATCAAGTGTTGGGGAATTGATTATATTTCAAATCGTTGTAAAAATGGAAGTGTAAGTACTTGTCAATGCTTCTGCAACGAATAACAATAATGCTATATTATCAATAAGGGTCTGTGATTCATGAGTGGTTAATAATTTTTTTAGTGTAAACGATCGAGCGGCTTTCTTGACAAATTACGAAGTATATGATGTATTGAACAGTATTAAAGCAAGTAAAACAAAGAGCAAAGGAGAAAGTCAGCTGGCCACAATAACCTACTCGACGATCAAATATCTGGAGGACACACCTTGTAAAGATCAAACTGCAGATAAAATAACTGGATTTATGACAGCCGTAGAATCTTTCAAATTGTCCAAAAGTGAGAAATTGACAATTCTCAATTTGTTTCCAACAACGGTTCTTGAACTACATTTGGTTTGTACAAAAAATTTCAGTGCTACGCTATTAAAATGAGTTTGTATGTAATTAAAATTATGTTAAATTTGACAGCTCATCGAAGATTGTGAAGAACGTTTCAACGAGGAAGAGGAAGAAAAATTACTTATGATCATTGCTGAGCACTTGGAAACAGTAAAAGAAGAACCCGCTTCTGATTAAAAGAAAAGTTGATGTAAAATTTATTTTTATGTACATTGTTTTAAAATAAATAATTTTAAGAATGATCTGTTACAAAATTTGTGTGCGTGATATTATTATCAAACTTATTATCTTTTCTGATCTCCCAAATCATCAATCAGGTCTTCATCGATCTGAAAATGAATTGAAATTAATAATTGTATAAAGATCAATTATAATGGCTGAGATTAATTATTGATCAATTACCTGAGGCCACTTCTCTGGAATAACATCAAACAAATCATCTTTGACATCGCCTTGGATGACAATTTCATCTTCTCCGGTTACACTTGATCCACAAGCAAATCGGCTACCAAAAAATTTTGCTGCCACTTTCAAATCAATATCTAAAACAATTAAAATTAAGATATATTAATTAAAATGAACATGACATGTTTAAGAGGATACAAAAATCATTGATAAGGTAATAATAACAATTTTGAAATTGATTTTCTAGGGTCTGTACTAAATGTTTCAAACAAGCCATGTGAACGTACAGACAGTGAAGACAGCTGTGAAGCTTAATAGAAAAATATTGGATAAATCCAGAAAAACTTTTCTTTATATTTTCAATCTTACCCTAAATGTAACATTACTGTAATGAACAATTAAATAAACAGTAAAGAATGATTTTTACCAAATGTACTGAGGCCTGTGACAACTGTCACAGATTTCTTCTTTCCTCTAGGAGCTCTTGATACTGTGATTAATTTTTGTACTTCTTCCTTCTTCTTAGTTTTTAGCATACCTTTACCACCTCTCTTTTGCCTTTTTTTCTCGTCGTCTCCCCCTGCTTCAGAGTTGGCTTCGTCTAAAAAAATTAATTAAATCTCATTTAAACATCTGCCAGCAACCAAAAATAATTTTTCTTAATTAGGGATTTCAATTCTTACCTAATTTGACCTTGTCAAATTCTGACGGCAAAAACTTTTCTAACCACTCTTTACATTTCTGATAATCTGGATAGTATTCACAATACTGAAAAAAGTGAAAATTATTATTACTAAACTGAGGACAATGTTTATTTTGAAAATAACCTAAGATGTTGGCTATTTAAAAATTCATACCTCGATTGGAAGCGAGCAATTTCCACAGTATTGAACCTTGATAGGATAATTGACATTAGGATCTGCTCCAAGTCTGAGCTCTCGTTGTGGCTTGGGTTCTTCAGTCGTCATTATTCCAAAATTTAGCTGTACAAATTTCACAAAAAAACTTATTAAAATTAAAACTGTTTATAAAATCTCGGTGCTACGAGTCTAACAGGTAGAATGTTCAAAGTTGTTATTTTCTACGAAATCTCTAAGAAACACACTCGTGAATTATATAAATTGATGTATACTCACATATTTTTTTCGACTGCACACGACTGTCAAAGGTTATAAAGCAAAATTTACAGCTCCGGCAATATATAAATATATATTCACCTCAAACCAAGCTAGGCTGCGAGGCTGTCTTCTGCACTTGAACGTCAAGTTGGGTCAACGCCCGTGTAGGAGGCGCTTTTTAAATTGTTACAAATTAAATTCGGTTGTTGATTTGAATTTTACGTTAAAAATGTGATGATATTCGTGACGATATTCGATGTCAGTTCAATAGCTCGTTTTGATGTAAAAAGGTAAATAAGTCGAATAACAATAACCGGGGTTCATAAACGATTTCAAATAGTATTTCAAGTCAAATCTTTGACAATTTCATTAAAGTATTAATGGTATTTACACGACTATCAGTAAAATTAATAAATAATGCATCCTCATTAAAAATCCTCCAAACGAGCTGTGTCATTGAACAATTAATCCACAAAGAAACGGATTAATTACTTGCATATTATTTCTCACATCAATGTGTAGTACTGATTCTCACGTCGACCTGCCATCTGAATCTAATCATCATAAAGTTCTCAAAAAACTATCCGGAGGAGGAACTCGATAAAATGCATCGACGAGCTTTACGTTGCAAAATCAGCTGCAGCCTCCGAAAATTGAGTCGTTCTTCGGACGGCTATTGGAAGAGGGGGAGGAGGTATACCTACAGGAGAGGAGGAGACTCTCGGGTTTTGCACGTGGTGCTGCGCGCGCGCGCGCGCGCAATCCCTCTAATCGCAGCCGCCTCTCAATATAATGCAACATCGCGCGAGAAATACGGAGCAAGCAATCGCGATAAGTCGGAGTCTTTCGGCTTTCCTTATGTATGCGTGTAACGCACACACATGTATCAGCAGCGCCGATTCTCTGCTCTCTGCGCGGCCTCCTCGGAGTTGCGGCGGCGAGCCAAGCGACGAATATGTGTGCGTGTGCGTGTGTGCGAGCATCCGCACAAACCATCGTTGCCGCCGCCGTTGTACACGATAAATATAGATATATGTAATGTTAGCCGCTGGTGCCGCCACCGTTGCCGTTGCCGTCGTCGCCGTGTGCAGAAAGCAATAGTCGCTCGTCGTCCGCTCGTACGCGTATAACAAGAGGCCAGGCCAGAATTTTTACGCACGCGCCTATAGTACCTATATACCGACACACACACGAAGTTATAAAACAGACGTGAGTTCGAGAGAAAATAAAAGAAAATTTTTGTAACAAAAAAAAAAGAACAAAAAAATTGAAAAAAAGGGGGGTAGTGAAAAAAAAAGTTCGCGTTCTTCCTCTTTTTTTTGCACTACCATTGAAGCGCGGGTGTTGATTGTCAAATCGGAGAGAGCGAGAGAGATCATCGGAGCGAAACGGGTGTAAGCTCCGATCCTCTGCTTTAGTTTTGTTTTTTTTTTTTTTTTTGTTCATTCGCTCTTTTTTTTGTTTTTGGAGTTTAGCGATAAAAGCCTCCCGCGATCGCCGTTCGAGACGAAGATCGTGATATTAAAGGCTATATTTCGTACAGCACGTGCACGCGTATCTGGAGAGCTCCTCCCCCCTGGGTGTACACCAAAGTCGATATACTCGTATACATTTTTTTCTTCTTTTTTTTTTGTTTTCGCCTTGGGTTACACAATAACTCTATAATAGGACCGTGTGTGCCTTCTTTTCATATATATATCTATAGTCGATCGGGCGATCATCGCACTTGCACCGCAACGCACACGTATAAAGACAGACACAGACACTCACACACATACACGTGTGTGCGCCCGCAAACAACGAGTGCGCGAGATTAGACAAACTGCAGATAGAGAGAGAGAGAGAGAGAGAGAGAGAACAGTGAGCCGCCGATACTACATGTGAAAAAAATTGGATAATCATCGGATCCCATCGAGAGAGCAACAAAGTGCGAGGCATATAACCAGAGAAGCAGCAGCGCAGCGATTATAAATCATGGCACTGGGATCACAAGTGGAAGGTGAGGTCGAGTCGACGACCAACAGTAGTGGCAGCGGCAGCAGCAGTAGTGCCAGTAGCACTGCACCCACTGCGACAGCCAACAATCGCAGCAGCAGCAACAGCAGCAATAACCAAACTATGACCACGACGAATTCAACGACGTCGTCCTCGTCGAAGACAGTCGCCGCCGCCGCAGCTGCAGCTAACGCAGCACCGGCCGCCGTAGCTGCGACTGCCAACGGCGACGATGCTCGTGCCGCTCAAACCGGTTAGTACTATTTATTATAATAATACAGTAGTACATCTCGTGGTGCGACTAAAAAACTCTCTTTCGGCTACATGTGAAGAGAGATTAACTCTCGCGGTATAGGATCGCGTGACACATTATAAAAACGGAGCGCGCGGCTAGTGCCGGAGTAGTGTCTTGCGGGTCAGTCGCCCTTTCTTCTCTCCCTATCTTTTCTTTGATACTTCATAGTTGTCTCTGCCGTTATCGTTATCATCGAGTACACCCACGTATACATCGACGAGGTTAAGGGCACACGAAAAAATTTTCAATTCTCGTCGTTGTCTCGATCCTCGTTTCTCTCTCTCTCACTCATTCTCGGCGGGGGTTACGTAACGCGAGTTCGAGTACTCGCACATATATACACACTGGCGCGAGGCGCGTGCATGTGCACACATGTATACACATATACATACACATCCGTAGACGACGACGTCGACGACGGCTGCAACATACATTTGTATGTGTGTGTGCGCGAGTGCTGTATGTTTCGAAAGGTCGATAAAGCGCGCGACGACGACCAACTATTGAAAGCGTATAATAAATGAAGAAGCGGCTAAGAGATTATGATAAATTTTCTTCTGCACTCGAGCGTGCCCGACACGACGATCCGAGTCGGTTAATTTAGCTTTGCATCGCGTATAACACGAGAATATTATAGAAAAGAGAAAAAAGAAACGAGAAGAAATTAAAAAAACAACGACCTTCGGTGGCGATCGTCGTCGTCGTTGTTCGTCCCAGTGTCATGACAACGCCGAATAGTAATTTGCCGGTCGCCTTCGCGCATATATGTGTGTATTAGAACGAATAAATATACACACACTCGTGTACGTACGTATATATCGTTTTCTCGCCGGAGAACTACATATCGAGCTCTATCCTCCCGGTGCCGGCGTCGTGTTGTATTATATACATTACGTAACGATATGTGTATATCTGTACAACATCGGAGCGAATTCGCTCGCGTTGGCGGCGGACCTCTCCTTTATGCATATACACATACGCATGTAGTACCACCATTGTGTCTGGCAAATAGAGACGTACGATGTTTTTTTTTTCTTCTTTCAAAGATTTCCATCTTTCGCGTGTACTTATGCGATCGATTCGTGTCGAGGATACGTTTTCCACGCGCTTTGCGCTCCGTTGGGTTACTTCTCTCTCTTTCTGTAACGATGATGATTCTCTTACATCAAAATCTAGCAGAAGAGATGTTCTCGGTCGCACCGCACACACACACATGCACGTATGGGCGACACTCGTGTCTGTGTGACTTGGCCTGTGCAGCGTGTGTGTATGCGCGCACCGTTCGGAGCGAACGAATCTCGTAGCAGACGATTTTGTACGCATAGGAGAGAGAGAGAGAGAAAGAAAATTGTAACTCTCGATCGCCATTGTATTATTTCTTAAGATCAGAAAAAACGAATGGATAAACGGACAAAATTAAGATTTGACAGACGTAACATCGAACACGAGCTGTCTTTCTTTCTTTTTCTTTATTTTTATTCATAATTTAATTATTGCTATTTCGCTGTCTCTCTGCGGGTAATTCGACAGCACACGAGAGCCGCGTGCCAACGCGTGTATCTTACAAACATTCATCTCTTCTCGTGCTCTCTCTTTCTCGCTTACGCTCGACGACGAGCAACTGCATCTCGTTTCATTTCTCTAATATCTCTCTCTCTCTCTTTCAACGTTACTTTCGACGTCCTCGTTACTTTTCCTATACGCATTACTTTTCATTTCATTTCGGATTCGAAGATGTGGAGCGCGATCGATCGCCTCGTAATCTCGCGCAATAATACGAGTGTTACCGAATTTCATGAAACGCGTATTAGTATAGCAGAAGTAAACTAGCTCTCCTCTCGCTTTTATAAATCGCGCACATCGCCCCGCACGGACACGGGCACAGACATCGTCGCGTTATATAAAGATAGATGCTCATATTGTATTTTGTGTACTATTCTTATGAAGACAAAATATACACGCGTGGAAAGTGAAAATTTCAACTATGTAGATACGGTTGTTTTTTCTCTCTCTCTCTTTCCATCTTTCTATTTGCTCAATACGAAAAACTTTTGTTCGTCGTCGTCTCTCTCTCTCTCTTATCTCTGACTCGGCGCGCGTCTTTCGAGGTGTATATATATTATATATATCTGTCTTATCTCGATTGCTGCTCGGCTCTCTTGCCGTCGTCGAGATGACGAGAGGACCCGACACGTGGTATAGGTAGTACAAGCCAAACACGCAAGAACATTTCATTATGATTTACGAGCAACAATCTCCTGCACTCGTTCGTTCATTATAGTTTTTTTCTCTCTCGACTCGCTTTCTCTATTCCCTGAGAGCTCGAGGCAGCAGCAAAAAAAAAACTAGTCTCCCGTGTCACGGGTGTTGCATCATGCTCGTAATATCCTATCTCTCCTATTTACCGGGGCGCCGGCGCGCACGCATATAGAAGAATATAGCTGCAGCAGACGCAAGTTCGACACGAGTATATAGGCAATATCGAGGCCTCGTTTAATGGACATTTTTTATTTTTTGCCATGCATTCTTTCCTGCACGAAGTACACGGCTAATACACCATACCCGCGGCGGGTTTTATTAATTAACTTCTTGGCCTTTTCTTTCCTTCCCTTTTCCTTTTCGAAGAAAGAGAAGAGAGACGATATCGAGTATATATATCGTACATAAAGTCGACGCGCGCTCTCGAATTGCATCATGCGTTTGTAGTAGTAGAGAATACCCATGTGACATATACATAATAATATGCATATTTCAGTGTGGCGCGGCGCTACCTCGTGCCGCGCGCGCCGAGCTTCAGCCGTCGTGCTCCTATTTCTCTCTTTTTCGTTTATAAACTATATGAACGTTTATTTATCGTATATACTTACGATCGAAGACGTGTGCGTCGTTTTGTCACTTATACAGAGGCCCGTTAAATCGTACAATACATAAGCCACGACACGATGATTTTGCGGATTTACTTTTTTCTTCGCTTCGCCTCTTATTCGCCTTTAATTTATTCATTTATTTATTTATTTATTTTTCCTGCCTCGTCGATTCGATAAGTATTATTGATCGATTCCGACTTTAGATACACACACACACACATCTTATCGTTCGAAAATTGTTCAACTCTCAGCGGCGACGAGCATAAGTGTATGTATACGGTACGTGCACGCGCTAATGCGCTCGGTACACACACACACGGACACGGCTGTACTAAATATATATATAATGCGTATGAAAAACAGAAGAAGCAAAAAAAAAACAAGCAAAAAAATAGTAAGAATTCAGACGAGCCCCCCTCGAGTCGTCGTCCGCGCGTTGCGCGCTGTATTGTAATGGTAGTGTGTATGTGTGTGTGTGTATATATAACGAGTTCGAAACGATGCGTCTTGACCTCGCGCTCGCACAGAACTTGCATATCTAATTTGTGCCTTTCTCGAGCCGAGAGAGAAAGACGAGCTTTGGCCGACGCGACTTTGAGTGGTATACCACGTGTTAACGAATGCACTCACGCACGAGAGAGAGAGAGAGAGAGAGAGAGTTGGACCTCTTTTTTTTTATCGTTATTTTTTGTGCTTTGGAAATAGTTTTAGGAGTCGGTGACTGGCCGCAGTCGTCGACGTCGTCGTCGTTTCCTTTTCTCTCTTTTTCTCTCTCTCTCTCTAAATGCGGACTCTATACAACGCGAAGTCGAAACGACGAAAGAAGAAGAGACGAGTCGTCGTCGTTCGTTAAATACGCGACAAATATATACGTATAAGGTACTATAGTCAAAATTACGACGCTGTCTGCGCACTGCGGGATTTCCATAGCGAATTTTGGCGAACGCATCAAAAACGCGATAATCGTCTGTATTTTACAACGCGTATTATATACGTTACAAGAACGAGAAGAAGAAGAAGAAGCAAACGATAAGAGATTTCGGATGAAACGGAGAAACGACGAAAGAGAAGTAGAAGAGAGATCGGGTTATCGTTTTGTTGTCATGTTTTCATTCTGTTTTCTTCTCTCGTCGCTCTCGTAACACACACACACAAGCTGCAGCGTAATATATATAATATTAACGCGAGCTTTCCAAGCGGCTCCTTACATCCATACATATGCACGGCACATTGTGCATTACGTTGCGTACGGATTGTTTTGCAAGTCCGTCTCTCTCGAAGGCTTTGAAAGAAAAAAAAAAAAGTCGAGCGATTGCTCGCTCATGCATATCGTAACTCGTGCCTACGATATCTCGTTATTATACATACGCGTATCATCATCGTGTCGAGTCTCGTTCATCATCATCGGCGAATGAGAAATACATATATACATATAGCAACTTACCGATCGTCGCGATGCCGATCCTTTTTGTCATTCCTCTCGAACGAAAGATCGATGGAAATAGATGTATACACATGTAGAGTTGGCCCCCCGAAGACAGACAGAGATAGAGAGAGAGAGAGAGATCTCATCGCAACGCGTGTATACGTACGTACGTACGAAGCCGTAAAAAGAGAGAGAGAGAAAGGAAGAAGAATCGCACGGGGCACGCAGCGGTGCACTTATTTACATTGCCGCCGTTTTATTTATATACACACACAGTCATCGGTGAGTGCGTCTATCGCTCGCACAACTCGACGCTTTGAGCTCGTATATGTCCAAAAGTCGTCTCTCGTTGCGCGCGTAGCTCCTTTTTTTTCGTTTCTCTATGATCGTTTCGTACGTATATTAAGCACTCCGACGTCTTATCTTCTCGTTCTTTTTTCCCAGGCCCTCGTATCTCTTATATATGCACATAATGCACTTCTCTATGTGTATCTTAAGCGCGTGCGAACTCGACGTTGATTTTTATCTCTATTTTCCTTCTTCGTTTCGCAGAGGCAACGAGATCAAAGCAAAATGGTAGCAACAACCAGCAGCAGCAGGAAAACGTGCTGGAAAAGGGCGAAGTCGAGGCCACCAAAGAGGGCGAGAAGGAGAACAAAGACAAAGACGGCGCGGACGGCGGCGACGACACCAACAAAGACAAGGACAACAGCAGCGACCAGGAGGTCGTGTTCATCCAGGACATGGGCTTCACCGTGAAGATCTGCAGCCCGCACTCGGAGCCCTTTCACATTCAGGTCTCGAGCATGGAACTCGTCCAGGAGATCCATCAGCTGCTGATGGACCGCGAGGACACGTGCCATCGCACCTGCTTCTCGCTCCAGCTCGACGGCAACACCCTGGACAATTTCGCCGAGCTCAAGAACATCGAGGGCCTCAAGGAGGGCTCGGAGATCAAGGTGGTGGAGGAGCCCTACACGATGCGAGAGGCGCGCATACACGTGAGACACGTGCGCGACCTCCTCAAAAGCGTCGACCCGGCGGACGCCTATAACGGCGTGGAGTGCAGCTCGCTGTCGTTCCTCAACGTCGTCACGAACGGCGACATACTCGAGAAGAAGAGTAAGAGCCGCGCCGACTCGGTGGACTGCACGCCGCCCGACTACATACTGCCCGGCGGCGCAGGCGCAGGTCGCGAGAGGCCGCTGCTGCCGCTGCAGCCCCAGGCCAAGGAGCAGAGGTGTCCGCCCTGCCTCAAGGTGCTCACCACCAGCAGCTGGAATCCGCCGCCCGGCTATCGCAAGCTCCACGGCGATCTCATGTATCTGCACGTGGTGACCCTCGAGGACAAGCAGTTCTACCTGACCGCGTGCGCCCGAGGCTTCTTCGTCAATCAGTCGACCAAGGAGACGTTCAACCCGAAGCCCTCGGTGCCCTGCCACCTCTGTCACAGTCTCATCGATCTGCTCAACTACCTGAGTCCGGCCTTTAAGCGCGGCTTCGCCGCCATGCAGCGCAGGCGCACCCAGCGCCATCCGTTCGAGCGCGTCGCCACCCCGTATCAGCTGTACGCCTGGTGCGCGCCCCAGATCGAGCACACCGTCGACGCCATCCGCGCCGAGGACACGTTCTCGTCCAAGCTCGGCTACGAGGAGCACATACCCGGCCAGACGCGCGACTGGAACGAGGAGCTGCAGACCACCCGCGAGCTGCCGCGCAAAAATCTGCCCGAGCGACTGTTGCGCGAGCGCGCCATCTTCAAGGTGCACAGCGACTTCGTGGCGGCGGCGACGCGCGGCGCCGTCGCCGTGATCGACGGCAACGTCATGGCCATCAATCCCGGCGAGGAGCCCAAGATGCAGATGTTCATCTGGAACAACATCTTCTTCTCGCTGGGCTTCGACGTGCGCGACCATTACAAGGAGCTGGGCGGCGACGCGGCGGCCTTCGTGGCGCCGCGCAACGATCTGCAGGGCGTGCGCGTCTACGCGGCGGCGGATCTGCCCGGCCTCTACACCCTCGGCACGGTGGTGATCGATTATCGCGGCTATCGCGTCACCGCCCAGTCCATCATACCCGGCATACTGGAGCGCGAGCAGGAGCAGTCGGTCGTTTACGGCTCCATCGATTTCGGCAAGACCGTGCTCACTCATCCCAAGTACTTGGAATTGGTTGGTTCTCATAATTTTCCGTTTATTTGCTTTTTTTTTGATTCGCGCTTCGATTCAATAATCGCATATTTTTTGTGTGCAGTTGAGCAAAGTCGGCCACCAGCTGAAGATATTGCCGCACAAGGTCGTCAACGACGCCGGCGAGGAGATCGAGCTCTGCAGCAGCGTCGAGTGCAAAGGCATCATCGGCAACGATTCCCGGCACTACGTTCTCGACTTGCTGCGCACCTCGCCTCCGGACGTAAATTTCCTCAAGAGTACGTATATCCTACGAATCATAATTGAGAGAGCCGACGAACGTAACTTTATTTTTTTTCTCGCATTTTTTCCGCAGTCGAAGGCTTGGAGCTGAGCGAGGCGTCCAGAGCGTTGGGCTTCCCCATCGAGCACAAGCACAAGCTGTGCTGCCTTCGCCAGGAGCTGATCGACAATTTCGTCGAGGCCAAGTACGTGCAGTTCATCAAGCACGCCGCGGTCAGTCTGCAGAAGATGGCCAAGCGTCTGCCCGACAAGTCCAACAAGGACGAGAAGAAAGAGATCGAGCCGGAGAAAAAGGAGAGTACCGTCGTCGACAGCAACAAGGCGGACTCCTCGGCGCAAGCCAGAATCGAGGCCGAAGCGGCCAAAAAGGTCTTGCAGGACATGAACAACACATGCGGTGAGGAAAAAAGTAAAAGTCGTTTTCCACCTTCTTTTTTTTTCTTTTCTGAAGCTCAATTATTATATACACCTTTTCTCTGTCACTTTTTTCGATCGCTTCTATAATGGCAAACAAACAAAATTTTGAATTTCCAGCAGAGCATAAAAACACATGGGAGATCGTGAAAAGAGTGGCTGCCGCAATGTTTAGAGAGAAATTCGACAATAAATTCAATATAAAAAATTTTGAATTTCTAGCCGAGGAAAGCACAAAGGAAATCGTACAAAAAGCGGCTGCCGCAGTCGGTAGCTTGAAAGAGACTGAGTTCGACATTAAATTCAATCCGGACGTCTTCTCGCCCGGCGTCACTCACGTCGACCCGGAAGGCCCGGACTTCAAAAAACAGAAAGATCTCGTCAGAGACGCGGCTGAATTTTTACTCACCGCTCAGCTTCCAGCTTTCGTGAGTTCCCTCGTACACTCGTACAACACAGATTCTCATCGTTTCTCACCCAGCCAAGCATGTTTTAACTAAGTTTTTTTCTCCCATACGCAGATTCGCGAATGTCTGGACCACACGCCGGCCGCCATGGACGGCGGCACCCTGATCGAGGCGCTGCACGGCCGCGGCATCAACGTGCGCTACCTCGGCAAGCTCGCCAACATGCTGTCGAGCAAGCCCACCCTGCAGTACCTGCACCGTATCTGCGTGTCGGAGCTGCTGCTGCGCTCGGCCAAGCACATCTTCACCACGTACATGCAGGGCACCGAGCTGATGTGCCTCACCGCCGCCGTCAGTCACTTCCTCAACTGCTTCCTGTCCTCGGCCCAGCTCAACAATCCCCAGCAGAATCTCGAGGAGCTGCAGAGCAAGACGGCGAAGCGGCGCAACAAGCGCAAGGGCGGCGGCGTGCCCGAGCCCGACAACGAGTGGGCCCTGCTCACGCCCAAGTCGCTCTGGCAGCAGATCCGGGCCGATCTCAAGGCCTACTACGACTGGGAGAGTCCCGTATCCGAGTCCATCGACGTCGCCATCGAGTTCTTCAATCTGCAAAAGATCACGCTGCTGCGCGCCTTCTGCATCAAGACCGGCATCCAGATAATGCTCAGGGAGTACGTATTCGACAACAGGAATCGCGCCACCTTCTTCGAGGAGGACATACTGAACATCTTCCCGGTCGTCAAACACATTAATCCACGCGTGAGTACAATTTTACGCGGCGCATTTTTTTTTATCACTATCGGCACTAAAATCAAAACGATCGCCTGTTTTTTTTTTATTTGCTACAGGCTACCGACGCGTACAACTTCTACACAACCGGCCAGAACAAAATCCAGCAGGGCTACCTGAAGGACGGCTACGAGCTCATCAACGAGGCGCTCAATCTCCTCAACAACGTCTACGGCGCGATGCATCCGGAGATCGCCCAGTGCTTGAGAATGCTCGCGCGACTGAACTACATCATGGGAGATCACGCCGAGGCTCTCGCGACCCAACAGAAGGCCGTGCTCATGTCCGAGCGCGTCAACGGAATCGATCATCCGTACACCATCACCGAATACGTGAGTGATATCGGTGGACAGAAAAAAAAAAAAAAAAATGTAAAATCGACCCGACATCGATACTCATCATTTGTTTTGTGTCTTGCAGATACATCTGGCTCTGTATTCGTTCTCCAATGGACAAGTGTCGGCGTCTCTGAGGCTTTTGTACAGAGCGCGGTATCTCGCTTTGCTCGTCTGCAGCGAGGATCATCCTGAAATTGCCCTGCTCGACGTAAGTTACTACCGTCAATCACCAAAGCATTGAAGTAAAATCATCAGCGTAATATTCAACTTTTGTTCTCTCCCCACTCGACAGAGCAACATCTCCCTGATATTGCACGCGGTCGGCGAGTACGAGCTCGCGCTGCGCTTCAGCGAGCACGCGCTGCGCCTGAGCAACCGCTACTTCGGCGGCCGCTCGCTCAAGGCCGCCCTGGCCCATCATCTGGTGGCGCGCGTGCGCAACTGCATGGGCGACTTCCGCGGCGCCCTGAACAACGAGAAGGAGACCTTCTCGATCTACAAGCAGGTGCTGGGCGAGACGCACGAGAAGACGCGCGAGTCCAGCGAGTGCCTGCGCCACCTCACCCAGCAGGCCGTCGTCCTCCAGAAGAAGATGAACGAGATCTACACGGGCAAGACCGGCGTCAGTCTGCCGCCGATACAGGTGCAAGCCACCTGCATGGGCACCGTCCTGGACTGTCTCAACAGCGTCAACGGCATCGTGTTCGTGCAGGTGAGCCCCGCCGACATCGAGAACTTCAAGGCGGAGATCGCCAAGCGCCAGCCCGGCGCCACCGTGACGAGCCTGATCGACCCCGAGGCCAGTGGCGGTGATGAGTCCGCCGACCCGGCCGACAACCCGGCAATCGAGAACGGCAGCAGCAACGACGTCGACGCCAGCAGCAGCAGCAGCAGCGTCAAGGAGACGGCGACCGAAAAGAAGCAGCAACAACAGCAGGAGCTCACGACCCAGAGCTGAATTAAAAATTTATCGTACTACGCGAAGCAGCCGCTGCTCGTTGTGCTCGTCGACGAGCGTGCAGCCTAAACTCAACTGTTATTATATACTAAATGTGCCGTCGATGAGACGAAAAAAAAACCGATCGGCTCGCGGGTGCGTTCAATCTTGCGTTTTTACTACTTTACTATATTATGATTAATTATAACGGATAAGAATGATGAAATTAATAATATCGATACGCATACAAAGTTACATGAAATTGTTTTGTATGATACGGAATGATGGGACAGTCGAAGTCAACCATCTATTTTCTCGTAATCTTTTTTTTTCTTTTTTCTTTCATAATCTGAGCAAAGCCAATGTTACGTTGACTTATCGATGATTTCAGAAAGTAATTGCACTCTTTCGTGAAAAACAATAACCGCCTGTTAGTTGAGATTTTTTAATGCAACAACAATTTTCAAACTTATTGTAAGATTGACGACGATATGTTGACGAAGAGAGAAAAATCAACGACGTTTTTACATAAAAAAAAAAAAAAAATGAGAGTAACGTGTTGCTAGTTTACAATACTGAGCCTGTGACTGCAACGTTAGTCGCGAGGCTATGGGAATTTCAACGAAGTATGTATATTCCGAGATTTGATGTGAAAATTCTCGGTGCCTTGAATGAGAATCAATTGAATATGATGATGATCGTTAAGTTTTTTCTAATAATTGCATATATTAATGAACTTATTGAATGTTTCTTATTTCTATTAATCTCGCGCAAATCAAATTGCACTTTGAGACTCAAAGTGTTATTATTGATATAAATACTCAAAGTAGTTCGTTTGAACTATTGATTGTTGAATTCTCTGCAAGTGATTGTTATTTGTTGAAAATTACCCGAGCTTATCACGGAAAGAGTAGAGTATAAACTCGATATTTTTTATCGTTTTCAACTGAACTTTCAAGCCAACTAAACATAAATAATCATTTTCTTGTCTTGTACAATTAACTTTCTTGGCGTATCTTTGAAAGTTTTTTTCAAAACGCATGTCATCGTTGTGCATGAGACTGTTAGGTCGAACAAATGAAACGTTGAGCGATTCTTGCGTACATGTAATTATACGAAGAAAAAAATTATTTTAATAATTCCCAACGTGGCGAACAAAGTTGTATATTAAATCACATTCTCATAATGAATCATGAGCTATGTACCGTTCCTTTCTTTTCTTTACAAAGGAAATTTTGTTACTAATTTATGAATGCGAATGAGGGTGTACGTTGCGCGCTATAAATATAGTGTATAAAAAAAAAATTATCAATTACTCATACGTGACGAAATCGAATTAAGTTAATTCGGAAAAGACTGTGCATATTAAAGATAATTTGATAACTAAAAACCAAAATGCATAAAATGAAATTAAAGAAAAAAAATTAAATCAATTTAAAAAACACCGATTAAAGCTTGAATTGAGCGTTAATAGAAATTACGATAATATCACATTATTATTTCCTAATAATGCAATAAGTTATTATTATGTAGAAAAACACCAAAAGTGCTTCCTATAATTCTGCCTGATTAATATTTTTCGAATGGTAAATTAGTACCATCTCATTGTTTTATTTTAATAGTTTTAGTTCTTTTCTTAGTTCTAATTCTATTTTTGCGATTTCCTAGACAGAGTTTGAATGTTTTAGTTTTTTTTATCTCTAAGTTGTTGAATTAATTCGAATAATATATATAAAAATATATATACATAAAATATTATGAAGTGATATAGTTAGTTTGCTATGATAAAAAAAAACGTCAGATAAACCAAATAATAAACAATAACTTCAAACTTCTGTTATAGTAGTGATACAGTTAGCAATAAAGCAATGTATTGTAGGTAGCTATTAGCGTTGATAATGTAACTGTTACCAAAATGTTCATTTTGATTTTATTTACGTTTTGAATGAAGATATAAATAAGTATATCTTTTTGATATGTGTACATCAAACTTGAAAAACTACTCGCATGCCGATGAAATTTATCAACGCGTTAGTGATGAAATGATTGGCCTCAACACTAGGATTGTACAATATAATGAAATTTTGAAGGACTGTTGAAAACATATGACTGCGGCTTAATTATTTGTTAAAGCTGCATAAAAATTGTTGAAAGTAGATTACAGTGCAAATCAGTCAATATTTATTATATATTAATGTGTAACTTAGTATTTCACTCAATATGAAATCAAACCATTTGATAAAACTCATAAATTTAATTTAGAGAAATTATTTGATTCATGGTACAATGCTAAACGTTTTTGTAATAAAAAATCAATAATCATCGTTTCTTTCATGCACTCGTTAGAAATATTGTACAATACAGAATTACTAGTTAATGCATTAATTCAAAATGATAAGATCTCTGATTTTTATTTGTCATCTGTTATGTAATTTGGTAAAAAAACTGTTTACATTAAATAAATCATTTTATATATAAAACAATTGCTTCGAAGTTTCAAACAATTTTTCTTTGGTCAGAAATTTCGATCCCGACTCTGTTGAAGTCTTAACATTTTTGCTGTTAATTTTTCTTTTTTTATTCTTTCTCGTTTCTGTTTCATTTCTTTATGTATTTTTGCAGTTAGAGAATCATTAGCACTTTGCAACATAAAATATTGTCTAACATTTAACGTATTAACTAAGTATTGCCTTAACGTCTCGATACCTTGTTTACCACCCCGGCTTTCTTCATACATTATATAAATAATAATTAATTTTTGACTTTGACTTTGACTTTGATTTTGAAGTTTCCTTTTATTTGACTTTGAAGTACCTTTTATAAACGGTTTTTCGGAATATTTAGTATTAAAATGGCTCAAGTCAGAATCTTTGGAATCATTGGAACCATCAGAATCGTCGGATTCCTCAGAATCGCTGGAATCCTCAGAACCACTGGAACCTTCAGAATCGCTGCAATCTTCAGAACCGCTGGAACCTTCAGAATCGCTGCAATCTTCAGAACCGTTGGAACCTTCAAAATCTCTGAAATCCTTAGAATCGCTGCAGTCCTTAGAAATGCTGCAATCCTTAGAATCGCTGCGACCTTCAGAATCGCTGCAATCTTCAGAACCGCTGGAACCTTCAGAATCGCTGCAATCTTCAGAACCGTTGGAACCTTCAAAATCTCTGCAATCCTTAGAATCGCTGCAGTCCTTAGAAATGCTGCAATCCTTAGAATCGCTGAAACCCTCGGAATCGCTGAAATCCACGTCATCGAAGCAATCCTCAGAATGGCTAGAATCTTTAAAATTGTTGGATTTGCCCGAACCATCATCAACTAATTTTGCTACTTTTTGTGTTACAAAAATTTTAAAGACTAGATACGGCTCAATGTTTTCTGTTTGTTCATTTTCTGGCCCTCCAAATATTGACATAGGACCTTGTTGATTTTCTGTTAATCCAGATATTGACAAAGAATCTGGTTGTTCGCAATCAATTTGTTCACTGTTTTCCGTATTTTCTAATCGTACTCTTTTCATAGCCTCTTTGCGCATAGCCATTCTCCGTTTTCTTCTACTGCCAGTCCAAGATTCAGAATTAGCTATGCATTTACAAGCCAAATAATCCTGATCGGTTGATGACCTTTTTGATGGTAAGTCTTTCACCATAATCTAGAATTAGAATTATTTGTGAGTGATATTTTTGCATAAAAGAAAGAAAAAGAATGATTATGATTATTACATTTAATTGTGAAAAAATTTTTTTCAGCCGAACCATTGTTTCTTCCTTACAACTCAAATTTGGCAGAGATGGAAAACAGATTTTCTTTGGTAGATCTTTCTTAATTTTCAAATTTTCTTCTTTAACTTGTATTCTTGGAGCAGTGGTGAAGTTGATCATATTTTTTGGGATAAATGACCAAGCTATACCCCATCTGTTGAGAAAAAAAAATTGAAATACTTTTCAACAATTGCTTTGTGAATTTAACATACCTTTTTGTGTAACCTTGGCAGAATTCAGTCCAAACAAAATTAGTGATATTTCGTTGTTTTAGTTGTTCTCTTATGAATTTTAAAGTTTTCTTTTTTCCAAACATTGTTGTGTATATTTTAATTTTGGTTTTGTACATTAAACTTTCATCCATTAATTGTCTTATAAATTCTTCTTCGCCACCTGTGACTCTGACTTCATGGTCATGACCAGAAACAAATTTTTCATCACATCGATCTCTCTTCTCCGGCTTATCTTCAAAGAAAGGTGGATTACACATTGTAAATGCATATTCATAATAATTTTGCTGCATTACTTCTCCAAGTATCGAATCTTTGTCTACGCAGAACACTGTAAGATTACATTTTATTATTATAGTTATACAGTTCTTTTAAGTTGTCTCTGTTAAAATTAATTATTATTCAACTACCTTTAATTTTGGTTTCTAATCCATTTTGGATAATATTTTTCTTAGCTGATTCGATGCTATCAGGATTAATATCGGTGCATACCATGGAACTCTTGAACATCCTTTGAATAAGTAATGGATAAATTCCAATAGGTCCAGTACCTATGCAAGTTCATTAAAATTAAAGTATTACACATTATTATCACAGTGAAAAATTATCGTGCATAATTACCAATATCTATGCCGGTAACATTGTGTAGTTCACGAATACCAGCATGTCTGAGAAGATCTTCTATCCACAAAATGTAATTCAAACGTAGTGGCAAAGTTGGTATTAAATTATTACGTGGAATGGTAACTTGCAGATCGAAATCATGTTTCAAAAGAGCCTGCGTTAGCATTCTCAAGTGATATTTATTATTAAAATCTATCGTGAGTTTTCCATTGAGTTTCTGGAATTCATTGAAGAAAAATCATTCAGTAATAAAAAAGATAATGAAAAGAAGTTTTATTGACTTACGAGGGAGACGCATTTTTTGAATTCCCAATTTTTTTCACACAATTCTTTAAAATTCGGCGGAACTCTGTATCTGTTTCGGGGATGCATGAATCTGTTGAGCGTGTATCGCGAGTATTCCTTTCGCGTTTTACGTTGCTTGTCCATTTTTGAACGGTGTCTTGCGGGACAGTCGATGAAAATCGACGATGTAAACAAACAACACTTAACCTTCAATCACACCTGCAGAAATCGCGTTGGATCGAGATGCGACGCGACACGATGATAGGATATAGTCTTTTCGACAGTCTTGCACTCACTGCAACTAAACGTGCGCACAATTAATTCCTTTATTCAATTATATCGTTGTCAAAATTCCTAACGCGTAAAGCGGAGTCACTAGAAGCAATCGCTGCGCCGAGTGCAAAAACACGTGTGTGAAGTACTCGCCGTCTCATGCGTATGCGAAAAAGTTTCGCGCGCCGCGAATCTTTCACTGTCTAGTTCTATAGCAAAATGAGCCGGTGTCGCTGGAGCATGCGGGAAATTGAATTTAATCCCGCATAGTTAGTCCTGTAATGACGCCTAAACTGTTTTCTCAAATGCTTTTCAATCCTGAGAAATTCGAATTTTCAGATATTTAAGAACATCCGCGCTAGAAATGAAATATGAAACAAAAATGCGCATTTTGCCTTTATTACGTATATCGTCAAGTGTCAGTGCATAATCGATGACAATATTATTGAAAAAAAAAACAGTTTGAAAAGGATCGATGTCGCTCGTTTTCTAATCTTTAAGTCTCGACTCTCGGATCTGGGATAGTTTTTCGTTTGTTTTTGTTATGTTAACGGTAAAATGCCATTCTACCATTAATTGAAATAAAAACAGAATTTAGCCAGGCACACTTCTGCTGGTTATGCCAATAGAGTCAGGCAATTTTATAAACAAGAATTTGTTGTATTTATATCGAGTTTGTCGCATTCACGTGTTAAGACTTCTACCTAATTAGATGGATGCTAACGACAATGTAGTAAACTCGCAAAAGAAAGTGAATGTCAGCCCTTTATCAATGAGTAGAGTATTCGTATAAGTAGGGTAAAAACATCTATTACTGCGCCTATCTTGAGCACATTAAGTGATGTTTTTGCCCTATAAGAATAATAAAAATAAGTACTTATAATAAGAATAACAATAAATTCAACTTTCGGAGTTTCATTTATTGATAAAGACTCTTCACGATTGGAATTCGAGCTAATTTTCCTTGCTCGCGTTGTATTACATCACCACGCTCCAATCCAAATCGTCCAGAGTAAAAGTCAAAAGCAGTTTGAATCGTTTTTCGGAAAAACGATAAAAGCCAGAGATCTACATACTGGATGATATCAAACAAGACGAAACTGGCTTACACATTCGCACGTTCGAAAAAACAAGAAAAGAAAATATCATGTCAATGAAAAAGCTTCGCGCGATCGGAAAGCAAAAGTTATCTCGTTTTATACTTTCAAGGCCCTCGCGAGGCAGCTAATAATTCATCGCGTCTCTTTGTCGTCGTGGACGTGTTTCAACGTCGTCGCAACGACGCTATAAATCCAAAATTAGCGCAAGAACTTGTGTAAAATGCACACACAAATACACTCACAGCTCATTATGATTGCCGCGCGGCGTTCTAATTTTTTAATTCTAATGACAACAACGTTCGTTCCGAAAGGCCTTTTTAGCGGAGAAGAGAGAGAGACTGCAAAATTTCAACAAGTAAGTATATGAGTCTGCTGCAGTCGCGAACGCAGATATAGGATAAGCTGCAATTTCGCTCAACGTTATAACTCGAGACATTTCGAGCGCGCCGAGCGTCGTGTTTATAATAACGTAAAAGAAAGAGAAAGACATAATCCGTCGAAGCGCGACTCATATAAGCAGTGATATTGCATGTTCGCATCTCTCTTGTGCTCGCGAGAGCCAAGTGTGCTGTGTGCGCGTGCGAGAGTGAGAGCGAGAGCGAGAGTAAAGAAAAAAAAACAACGGCCACTTTTCACGCAGCGCGTGAATTCATCTCGCCGTCGTATATATGAGCTGCTGAGTAGTCGCGCGAGATCGCAACGCAGAGGCAGTTCTCTCTCTCTCTCTCCGTCTTCGCTTTCAGTCAGCGCGAATCATCGCGCGCGCGAGCAGTTCTACCGTGTAGGTCAATTTTTCGTCGTCGTTCGTTCGTTGTTGTCGAATTCCGCATTCGACATCTTATTTCGCGTGTACGCGTGTGAGTGTGCATCAGGGAACTCGATTTTGGAGCGGACCTGCCGCGAAGGAGAAAAGTCTCGACTTTGGCAGCGGTGTATATTAGAAGGCATTACGTAGTGTGCGTGTGTCGGCGCGGCCTCGAGTGTAGTCTCGAGGTGAAATACACCTGTTGCTCGCGCGCACCGACTCTATACGTATATACGTATTATTATTATTACCGCTGTATCCATCGCGTGTTGTATACTCTACTATATCGCAACACCGTGCATCCTTTGACATTATACATACATACAGTGAGATACATATACATACATACAAGTGTACAGTGTGCAAACTCGCGAACGAGAATCCGCAGTGTTGTTGTGATTTTTCGGCATTGAATATCCGCAAGGAGTAAAAGCAAAAGAAGAGCATCCCTCGATGCTCCAGCTCGCGTGACCTAGTGTGCAGTATATACGGTTCGAGATCGTCATCGTCGTCATCGTCATCATCATGGCACAAGTCGTGAAGAATTTGACAAACAGTATCTGGCACGCGTTCAACGCCCTGCAGCTGGAGAATCAAGTGGGCGCCGTGGCCAAATCCAAATTGAAGGTGCTACTGCTTGTTTTCACTTTTGTATATATTTTTTTTCCCCCAACGAAAAACGTCGTCGTCGTCGTCGTCGTCTTTATAAACATCGATGACAAGTCCAACTCGATACAATGAAATCTCGGCTTCCTATACTTACTACCACTACTACCGCTGCTGCTATACATAAATGCACAAGGCGATATCGTTGTACGCTGCCGCCTGTTGATCTTCGCCGAGGCCCCGCAGCAGCAGCAGTATAGTGACTCACGGGCCTATGCGTAATAATATCGCATAGTCCAGGTTTTGTCGCTTTTATACACATGTGATTCATAATTGCTTTTAATGCAAATTACTTGGCGTAAGAGGCACTCTTTGAGTGGCTTACGGAGAGCTCGTGTTTTTTTATTCTTCTTTTATCCAAGGATGCCATCGATTGAAATATAATAATTCGGACGCGGCGCGTGCGAGTGCCGCTGCTCTCCGCGCCGACGTTCGATTTATTTATAAAATCGCGTTGTTTTCGCGGCTCGATTATGACGTACTTCGTATATACGTGGGTCCGAGTTCGTTGACATTATATTATTAGGTTCATATTTTCCGAACTCGGCTGCGCCCGAGATTTATGCGTGTTTATTTACTTGCGTTATTTATTTATTTATTTGTGTGTGTTTGCGCGCAGGTTCTGACGGCCAACATCGGCACGCTGCTGGACCTCTACGGAGTCGAGAAAGGATTGGAGCACTACAGAAGCACGTCCACTCTCACTTTCGAGCACTTTATCTTTTATCTGCAGAAAGAGGTCAGCGCATTATAAATATAGTTTTTGTTTTTTCACATATCGCGCAGATAGCGTGCGACGCTCCCGGTACCGAATAATGCAGCTCTCTCTGCTCTTGACATCAACAGGTCTTTTCCTCGTTGACGGAGTCCACCACGATGGAGACGTGCAGAAACTTGGAGAAGGGCGTCGACGAGATATGCTGGCTCGTCTGCAGAAAGCAGTATCTGGACAGATCGAATCCACTGTACACGGACGCCAGCGTGTACCAGCTATTCAGGATATTTTGCCTGCTCGCCGAGGTGGAAACCGATACACTGGAAGGCGGCTACATCGTAATTATCTACTGCTTATTTAGGATGCATCTTGGGAGTTGAATTACCATGTGTTATTGATAATTTATCGTTCGTTCTAGGTAACTATGCACAGCGACGAAGTGGCTCGAATTGCATCGCAGTTGGCATCGTCGCTAGGTTTGTGCTGGGATCCCGCTGACTTTAATGCACTCTCAGCGGCTATCGGAACTTTCAGGTATCCGATTACGAAGCGCATCTACTTTCATAATACTATCGGGGAGAAAAAAATGTAAACACCGTCAAATTCGTATCCTCAGATTCTCGACCTTCTTGGCGGTCTTGGAATCGAAGTACAGCGGCGACGGTAATTTGGACATCGACGGAGTTATCGAGGCCATAGAGGACCTGTATCAGACGTACGTCGAGGACGTAATCAAGAAGGGCTACCTGATGAAGAAGGGCTACCTCCTGCCGACCCTGAAAGGCTTCTGGTTCGTGCTGCGACCGGGCGAGCTCGCCTACTACAAGGACTCGCAGCAGAAGGAGGCCGCGGGCACGATCACGCTCGACGGTAATTCGTGGGCCGACTCGGCCGGCACGAGCGGCGGCCACGCCAAGCCCGATCGGCGATTCGTTCTGTGCACGCCCGAGCACAAGTGCATCGAGCTCGTCGCCGAGGACCATCGCGGCCGGCTCCAATGGCTCGCGGCCCTACAGATCGCCGTCGAGCACGCCGGCGAGCGGGTGAGCTATCAGCGCGGCCTCGCCATGCGTCGACGCTCGGCCCGGCTGGCCTGCAAGCAGGAGCGGGAGGAGACGCGCCAGGAGCTGCTGCAGGAGCGACAGGCCCGCATAGCCGCCGAGATACAGGCGCGCAAGCTCGAGGCCCTGTCCAAGCGGGAGGGCGCCCGCGTACAGGAGCTCGAGGACGTCAAGCTGAGGCTCGAGGCGCTGCTCGAGGAGGAGAAGCTCGCGCTCAGAGACGAGGAAATAGGTAATTTTATAATGTGCTATATACGTATATTTTTGTGTCCGTGGCGAGCTGGCAGCGCGTGTTCTGTGTACACGCGCGCGCGCCCGTTTGTCAATCGATAGTGACACACTTAAAGTGCTTCACGTGTTTAAAAATGTACTTTGCAATTTCGTCACACACAGTTCGGGGCCTTCAAGCGCGAGTTTTGAACGAGGAGTGGGAGAAGAGAGAACAACTGGAGAGGCTGCAGCAAGAGCAATTGAAGCTGCTCGAGATGGAAAAAATGAAGCGGATCGAGTTCGAAACGAAGCAGCAGGAAAACGAGAGGCAATTAAAAGGTAGAGATGCTTTTTTGACATAGCGTTCGTATATATGTATAATTTTCATGATTTATTGCAGAGGCCAAGATGCGGCTGCAGCAGCTCGAGCACGAGAAAGAGAATCTCGACGCGGAGCTACGTGCGGCCCGCGAAAAGGTCAAGAGAGCCGAGGAGGCGCAAATTATTTTGGAAACTCAGCTCGTCGCGACGAGGCCAAAGAGTGGCGAAAGAATCATCAGGCGATCGCAGAGCTTCATACCGACGACGAAAGAGCGGCCGTTACTGGTCGAGGAGAGGCTGCTCTTTCGGAAAAATTTCTGATCGCGACGCGACGTGACACGTCATTATTATATATTATTATATGAATAAGAGGCGGGGGCGCGCGCGCGCGCGCGTGCCGCAAGATATCGCCGCGCGCAAAATACATGTAGACTCGCGTGTGCGTGTGCTTCGCATTGCAACACGCATGCAGGGCGTCCATTTAGACACACGGTATATATTTTTATATTTAACTTTTTTCGTTATTATATAACGCGCAGAATAAGTCTGAACCCTAGCTTTTTACGTCAGGAACGTGAGGAAATGTGTCATAAATTTAAGGCGAGTCAGAGTGAAAGTAGTAGTAAACGCGACTCGATCTTACGCGAACACGAATTATTCAATCAAATATTATAGAATCGTAAATAATTAATAAATGTTCCTGAACAGAGTATCTTGCCTTATTTAAGGAGAAGAAAGAAATTAATCGATTGTTTTGTTCTTTTATTATTTTTTAATATCTGTAAGGTAATTAAGTATATTTTATCACGAGATCGAATGCCAATGAAAAAGCATTTTCACGCATATCATAAAGACAGTTGTCAATTAACTCGCAACGAACGAATTATCAATTTTAAGATTGTTATGTCTACGACGTATTTTCTAATGTTTTTCTTTGTTACAAACTTATATATAAAAAAAGTGTTGATATTTTATTTATTATTATCGTTTAATTTGAAAGTGTATAAAAATTACATTATTTATAAATGCATTTGTAAGTCACGTTATTTTTAGAATAGAAAAAAAAAAGTTTATATTTAGCTCTCTATATCTCTTGACTCTCACACGCGCGTGACAAGAGTTTTCGCCCGAACGAAATATACATTATAAAGCAGGGAGGTAGAAAAAAAGGAAAAAAGAAAAAAAAAGAAACTCGAGAGATGGTAATCTGCCAATCGAATCCATGTATTATAATAAACGAGTCCAACGAACAAATTGCCACTTTTTAATCGAAAAATATAAATACAAGGTATAAGTTTATACTCCGATCAGTCTACTTTCTGTCGTTGTTATTATGTGAATGATATCACATCGCTCCACAATTTGCCCCGTCGTAAAAAAAAAAAAACATACACACACACACACACGTAGAGCCGCTACCACCCCCGCGCGCGCATCGAAAAAAAGTAAACCAACGGCATACTACCTATAAGAGTTCTGTATACACGTATGTAGGTATATATGTAAGCGCTGCCGCGTCGCGTTGTATTTGCATTAAAATGACCGCGCGCTTGGAGGCTCGCTCGGGGGTTTATTTTATATCTCGACCGAGCGATCCGCGGCCCGCTACTAGTCCGTCTCTAGTCCGTCCGTCCGTCCGTCCATCCATCCATCCATTCATCTAGAGGCCTATATAGCCTCTCTAGGCGCGCACACGCTCACTCGCAATTAAGTGTCGGCAGACCTACATACAATGCCCTCGCGCCCAATAAACCCAGCCGCCAACCACCCCCGCTTTACAAGGTACCTGCTCTATGTATGTATGTATATGTAGTGCGAGCGCACCGCGCCGAGCGCGGCACGTATGAAATAGCAACAAAAAAAAAAGAAAAAAAAAAGAGTATCGATCAAACTCGGGCGCGCGCGCTAAGGTAGCGGCGGCGGGGGCTTTGAGTCCGCGAGGGCCGAGAGTAGTACTCTAAGCTCTTCTATACACCTGTGCGCACCCACATAGAATACGACGACGAGGACGCTTGGTGCACAGTGTTTTCATTGACACGCGTGTGATTTTTGAAAGTTTAATAAAGCAAAAGAAAAAAATAACATGCCGACGAAAAAGAAGAAGGGAAAGGCCTCGAAGCTGGCCAGAATGAGCGACGAGGAGAGGGCCAGGTACCTGCAGCACCGGGCGGACGTCGAACTCGAGGCCAAGAGGAGAAAGCAACAGCTGATCGCCGCCTTCGCCAAGGTAAGTCACACCAAAGTGCAAATTATTATAGCATAATTCACTTTTATCTCTCTCTCTCTCAGAACAAGCTCAGACGCGAGGAGGCCTTCACTCGGATCAACACCGCCAAGCTGAACGAGCAGTGGCGGGCCAGTCTGCGGCGCATCAAGTGCTCCGAGCTCAAAGACTGCGTGAAGCATCTCTGGCGCGAGTTCGAGGAGCTGCTGAAACGCAAGGACGACTTCGTGCGCCGTATGTACGACGAGCTGCTCGAGGCCGATCTGGATCATCGTCGCTTTCAGGAGGCCCACATGGCCTGCCTCGACGACATCATCGACAAGGGCAAGGAGCGCGTCGACTATCTGCGCCGCAATTACGAGGAGTCGATCCAACGCATCGAGATCGTCGAGATCGAGCATCTGAGGAAGCACCGGCTCGAGATGAAGGAGTCGCTGGTGAATCTCAAGACCATCATCTTCGCCAAGAGCAAGCACCTGGAGGAGGAGCTGGCCGAGCTCAGGACCAAGAACGCCGTCAATCTGCACAATCTCGTCTTCTCCAAGGAGGAGTCGCTGCTCAAGCTCAAGCAGCGCATGCACCCGAAGATGGAGTCGCTGTGGCGTCAGCTCAACGAGGCGATCGCCAATTACGAGCGCACCACCGAGAGCAAGCGCAAGCAGTACGAGTACCTCAAGGAGCAGGACGATCAGCACAGGGCGGAATCGGCGCGATTCCCGCGTCGGCACGCCGAGCTGAAGCGCAGCGTCGAGCACTGGAAGCGCAGTCTGGTGCAGCTGGCCCTCGATCGCGAGGAGACCATCGACGAGCTGAGGCTGCAGGCCGATCTGCTGATCAAGCAGGTGGGCCGAATGCGGCAGGACATCAAGTCCGCCCAGAATCTCGACGCGCTGCAGCTCAAGAGGCTGAGCGTGCTGAGCAGCGAGGCGATCACGGTGAGTTTTTTCGTCGGTTTTATACAGAGCTGCTTTATTTCGAGATATATGTTTTTTTTTTGGCAGGAATTGGAACGAGTCATGGACAAGGTGACGGAGATACAGACGATGGCGCAGCTCTGCTCCGAGCTCGAGCCCGTCACCCTCAAAGTCAAGAAGTACTCGCTCAAGAACTTCGAGCTCGCCAAGGACCTGCTGAAGATCAAGGACGAGCCCTTCGGCTTTCTCAAGAAGATCGAGGGCTTTCGCGATCATCTCTACTGCGTGATCGAGGAGAACAATCTGCTGAAACGCGAGCGCCTCGGCCTCGCCGAGGAGAACGATCGGCTCAAGCACTCGCTGCGCGCCTATCTCATCACCGTGACCAGGGTGCCGACCATCAGGCCGAGGACGCGAGCTTAGACGATGACAGCCGGGGTGTTCGTTATCGTTGTTATTAACGAGAAAATAATTGGAGGAAAATCAGAGTAAATGAAAGATTTTAATTCGAATCGAGTTTTTAAAGGTGCGCGGAAGGGGATTATATTGTATATTTTTTCGAGGATTATAACGAGCCCGGGAAAATGAATGGTCCAGAGATTTTCTTGGTAGTTTATAAAATGTTATATTTTATTCGTAAAAAAAGAAGCAGAAGAAGAAGAAACAATCAAGAAAAGAATGCTACAATTTACAATTATCATAGTTATTCAAATAATGTACAATTATAAAAGTTTTATTTGTGTGTCCGAGCGTATAGGCATGGCAATCAATTACAAAGAAAGAAAAAACGATACAGTATTCACCGTAAAACAAACTAAAATAGCATATGTGTATTCAACTCGATTTTTATCACACTTATAATCAAGTACAACTAATCTACGAGCGTAGCTTTAAATTTTAAAAATAAAAACTTGATATTTAATATTGTTATTGTTGCCGCCGCTGCTACTGTTGTTGTTGTGTATATCGAGTGCGCACGCGCACGCAAACACACGTAAAACGTGTGTGCGCGAATTTTCATTTAGTTCGTGTTTTTTTCTCTCTCTCTCTCTGTCTGTCTTAGCGATGAGTAAAAATACCTCCGCCTATTTCGACGTACTTGTACGGCCGCGATCGCGTGCGTCCGCGCACCGGATGGAAGAATATCTTCTCCCGCGGCACGGAGCCCTCGGTCTCGAGGAAGATGTCGAAGCAGGCGCGCAGCCGCTGCAGCTGGGCCGAAATGGTCGGCGGCTTTTCCCACATGACGTTGATCTCGCGCTCGATGTCGCGCACGATGTCCTGCTTGTTGGACGCCGGCTGCGTCTGCGGGCTGAACATTATCCGGAACGTCGACGTCACTTTCGGATAGTCCGGCTTGATGGCGATGAACGCGATCATCTCACCTGCGACGATGAAAGAGGAGAAAGGGGGATGGTTACAAGATTGTAATGATTATAATTGTTGTTTTCGAAATTTTTTTCGTAATCAATTGTGATGAATTTTCTAAAAGTGCAATAAAGGGAAAACAAATGACGTTTTGTGATGAACGTAATAAAGTGATTTTACTCTAAATGTGCTGATATTCTTATTTTTTTCACGAAAATATACACTTACTGTTCTCGCGACGCAAAACGGCTTCGTAAAATATATCCGACGTGCTGACGTATTCCTGGTCTGATGTTTCCATACAACGGAACACTTGACAATAATTTTTCCATGACGATATCATGAATTGGTGCAGAATCGTTGATGTTTTGGTTGGTATAGGTTCATCTGTATCCGGGAACGCTGGCATATTGCCAGACTCCAGCTCTCGGATTTCGGCACATAATTCCAATCTCGCTTTAACGCGCTTTTTTATTTCCCGCAGAACGCTTTCTACATTGTCTTGAATGCTGTCGGGAACAACAGACTGAAAATAATTTTTATAATTAGATTAAGCTGTTTGCAATCATTTCCCAAAGTATACATTTTAACGATCATTCTACCTTTTGTTCAGAAGCTTCAATGGGTACAAAATGTAAGCCTGCCATTCTTTGTGCCCATTTGTATGGAGTACCAAGGTTGTGTGCTGAAAATTTGCCCAATTTGTATTTTGAGAGTTGATAGTGATTGGCAGGATTTGGACTCTCTAAGCCTGTATCTCCAGGATACAATTCTCGTAAAACTGACTCGGACACAAGCATGTCACTGAAATGTTTTGATGACAAAAGTAGTGGTAAGATAAAACTTAATTTCATACATTTTAAGCAAAAACATTTATAAAATAATTTAATTTACCCAACACTGATGCCTCCCAAATTTACAGTTAATAAATCTGAATGTACCGTTATAACTTTTAATACTGTTAAATAGAAAAACTGTAATTTCAGTTTTGTGTCATCTGTGAAATGAAAATTAATACATGTAGGAATATTAACGATAAATAATTGGCCATCGATTTTTTCTATACAAAATAAAGAAGAATTCAAATTTACCTTTAAATGAAACAATTATTTTTACACTAAGAGGATGTTTATGTAGAATTCTTTGCTTTTTTTCTTCTAATCTTGCTTCTTTTGATATTCTATGGTGTCTTTTTTTATGTACAGGGGCTTCTTCTTGAATGCTTTCAGATTTATCGTCATTTTCTGAGTCACTATCTTGTGGGCTATCAGAATTAGAAATTCTTTTAGCTTCTTCTTCATCACCTTCTACAGAGACTAATAATGTATTGTCACATGCATCTCTGAAAGCTGATGCTTTGGCATATATTATGTACAGTGGAGATGCAAGCAAAGATGCTTTTTCGTGTTCCAATTTAATTTTATCAAGCGGGAGACCAAGACTTTCTTGCAATGGTTTACTAGCCTAAAAAAGTATGCTTTAGTATCACTAGTTCATTTAATTAAATTTAAAAATGAATTTTGTTGAATGTACCTCCAATATTCCACGTAGCTGGGGTGCTAAATTATCTAAACGAGACTGCTTTGATTCAATACTAGAAGCTACAGATTTTTTAGTTTCACTCAGATTATCACACAGCACAGCCAATTCTTTTCTTTGTGTCAATTCCCATTCTAGTCTGGCCAGTCTTTTTTGATGAGGATCATCCTTTGTAACATCCTAGAACAATTAATCAACAATATTAGAAAAAACCCAAGTTAACAAAAATATAAAAATGAATTGAAAAATATTAACTCACAGGTCTAGTAATTGACTCAGGAGCTTCTTTGTAAAAGTCCTCCTCAGGAACTAACTCAATCTTTTCATCCTTGGACCTAATTAAAAAATTCAACATTTTGTAAAAATTTCAACGATTGCATCAATGAATTATATTTTTGTCTAACGCACTTGAACTGTAAACATTTCATAACATCTTTCTTCAAGTGAATCACTTCGTAGAGTAAATTTTGCAATTGAAGATGACGATTGTCAACATTTGATTTAGCAGCCAACAATTGATCTCGAGATGCTTTGGTTCTGAACTTTTCCAATCGATTCAACTTCTTCAATTCGATGAACTGCAAAGCTGTCTCTACTTGCAAGTTTTTAATTTGATCCTTGGCCTGCAATCGAGCAAAGTTCAATTAGAACACAAATCAACAGCAAATCAAACGAAGCGCTGATAGATAATTACGTTAGCATCGTCCTTGACAGCCTTGAGTCTCGCGATTTCCGTCATATTTTTGCGTATGACATCGCAGGTTTTGTAAAAGAGTTGAGCATCGTCCTCCGACGATCGTCTGCAGGCCTCCTCCTCCTCGTACGAAACAATCGTCTATCGGAAAACGTTCGTTGTTTTAAACACGATTGTTGCAAACAAGTTGTTTTTGATTCCAAAAGGAAAAAACTAACCTTGTAAATGTCATTCGCCTTCGATGCTTCGCTATTTCGCACCGGCGAACTGGCTTCGGAGTTGGTCTTCTGACTGTCCGAATCTTCCTTCTTGCCCATGTCGACGGCGGATGAATCAACTTTTGGAGGCGACAATCGACTAGCACGAGATTCGATGTAAAAGGAAAAAAAAGGGGCTAATTTTAGTGAATAAAACGCCGATGTTTACTATCGTGCGATCGTGCGCGTCTCGGCGGCAGCGATGCGCCGAAATTCGCCGTAACCTCCATTTGGGCGAGTTCGCGATTGTGACTGTAGGTGGCATTGCGTAAACGCCGGTTCGTTAGTAAAATAGTAATCCACACCGCACACGGCCTCATTATACTTCTATCGTAAATCGTGAATGAGACGAGTTTTCATGAATGACACTACGAAGTGTAAATCTATAGTCCACATTATAATGCAGTTTGAGTAGTTACATTTCGAGTAATGAAAAAAATGATGTGCTAAGTAACGTAAATGTTGACAAGAGACTAGTGTTATAAAATTGACATCGACACGTTTTATTAGGTTTATCGAGTTTTTAAAATTTAAACCCTTATAAAAATTTCCAATAGGATCCCGCGAAATTCCTATTGGAATCCTATAGGACTCCTGTAGGAATTTCGCGAGATCCTATAGGAAATTTTTATAAGGGAATACATGCATAGTTTTTACATAATGATATAAAATTGAAGAACTTAAGATACAATGATTGAAAAGTTTTAATTTAGTTTTCTGTACATCAAGTTGGAACGGGTGAGCGATGCATCGTATTCTTGTGTTTTATGACATTATTCTTCGTTGTGAATGGTTTTCCGCATATTTCACACGCATAAATGAACACTATACTGTGCACCACATCGATGTGAGCTTTGCATTCACCCATCGTGAGGAATTTCTTGCCGCATAAACCGCATTTGTATTTCCTACCGTTGTGTATCGAATCGATGTGTTTTCGGAAACTGCGTTTGTGCCTGAATGACTTTCCGCATGTATCGCATGCAAATGTGACACCATTGTGCACCGCATCTACGTGGGATTTGAGATGACCCCGTTGTGTATACGATTTTTCGCACCTGCCGCATTTATGCTTGATACCCTTGTGTACCGTATTGATGTGGATAGTACGACTTGTCCGATGTTTGAATGTTTTATCACATGCATTGCAAGGATAGATGATATTATTAAGCACTTCGTCGGTGTGGTTTTTGAGTTCATTATTATAACCCAACTTTTTTATTACTGATTTTCTTTTGATTGGCTCGCCGCTATTTTTCTCATCGCTACCAAAACATTCCTGTTTTACTTCAGCCGCTGGCTCTGCGTTAATTATGTTTTCATTTTTATAATCATCGCTATATTCCGATTTCTGCAAGTGATTTGGAAAATAATCATTAATTTTTTCAACTTCCGGAAAATTCATATTGGGTTTGACGTCTTCGCACTCAAAAAATATTTCCACGTCGTCATTGAGTTCACTGTCAAAATTCACTTGTTCGGGAGTGTCACTCAAAATCTTTTCTTTCGCTTCCCTCACTTTTATATTCCACAAATGATTTGGAGAATAATCGTCAATTTTCTGTACTGCTAATGAATCAATATTGGGTTTGACGTCTTCATATTCAACAACCATTTCTGTTTCGTCCTCATGATCACTTTCGCGAATTTTACATTTTCGAGGCGTACGAGTCTGTCGAAAAATTAAAAGCGCGTAAGAATTTTCATTGAAAAAATACCCTATGAGTTATATGTTGCTCAATACTTACTGAATTTTCTCGTGGAAATGGTAAGAGTGGAAAGTTTTTAAGATCCGGTTTATCGTCAATCATTCCATAATGATTTTCCGCGATCGACTCATCGCTAGGCTCCTCTTTTGCCCTGAAATATAACCACGATAAGATCATGTATTTTTTATACCTAATATTTTTACAACTTCATTGTCATAAATGAAAATTACCTGAATTCCATCTTTCGACGACGAAAACTGCGATGTGCCGTGCTCGCTGTACTTTGAAAAACTGTGTCTACGCTGGACCAGCTCAGCACAGCCCTTTGAGTATCGCAGCGCTACATGTCATGCAAGCGCGCGTAAAACACCTTCGCAGAGCAAGTCGCAGAGGTCACGCATTCGACGCACGACGTAAACAAAAGAATAGCGAGCTCAGCTCTTTGCGAGTAATGCTCGGAAACCACGCGAAACTCAGAAACCATTGCCGGTATACCGATCTACGAGACGAGTTTCGAACGATTTCAACGACGGTAAAAAATAAAAATAATGCCAAAAGATTTGGTTTGACCCCGACGTGATTTGAACACGCAACCTTCTGATCTGGAGTCAGACGCGCTACCGTTGCGCCACGGAGTCTTGTGTTATAGGTTCGACCGAATTATGCCTGTTGAACGCCGTTGCCGCCCGTTAGCCGCTCTACCTTACCGATCGAGACACCTACTTTAATTCCATAATTTGTAGAGTCATTGTGTAATCGATCAGATTCACTGTCGCTCGTCGGTGTACTTGGACTCGAAAATTCGAAACACTCGTACTCAAAGTGGTCGATAACGATTTTTTTTTGCGGGGTACACATTCGCGAATTCATACCCGAGTGATTGTCGACCTCCATCTGTCTGTTTTACAATACGATGATCGCTCGGTACTGTTTACACGAGATGTACAATAATAGAAACGTTTAATCAAGATTGTGCGAAAAACATCGAGGCCCCATCCAAATATTTACACTCGAACTAAAAAAAAATTATCATTTTTTGTGTCGAAAATCACGACGGATAATTTTTTTTTTTTTTTATATACCTCCCCAATAAAAGTTATCCAAAAATCCGCTAATTCGAGGTCGGAACGCGCTTAGAGAAAATATAATATTTCGTCGAGTAATGTGCGCTACGGGGGCCACAGTACGTTATGATATGCGCGCGCGTGTAATAATAACAATAACGAAGTGCAGTAGCTCGGTCGCGCTATAATTAACTTTTATCGTTTCAAAACCATGACTTGACGCCTTTCGATACACATAATATATATAGTTATTGTATATTATATGTATTAGTTTTAATTTACGAATAGTTGCAGCTTATGGAATCTTCGTCCGCGGGGGGTCAAATTTTATCGACTCTCGCTTTGTATCAATTTTTTTCTGTCTTTTTTTTGGTATAAACTCTTCGTTATTGGAATCAGCCGAATCCATTAAGCTCTATACAAATTCATTCATCCAACGATCGTAGTAAAGTGTCGAGAGTACGAGATATATGGATATATATATCGCGCGATCAAAAAATGTCCGCACTATCTCTCGCTCGACTCTTCCTCTCGAGACAGTCGAGAATTCGCTATTTTAATTGCCTCTCACTGTGTATGTCAAACGAACGTAAAAAATCTGGGTTAACAATAAAAATGAACATACGTCAATCGGGTAGACAAATATTTGTTACCATAATATACGATATATAGTAATATCGCGCCGAAAGACACTTACACACATTACGGCTGTATAAGTGACGCGTGAAATAGACTAGGCTCGCCATGGCCGATTTCTATTTAATTGTATAAAAGAGGCAAGATTATATGTATTATATTATAATAACAAACAAGCCCACACTATTAACGGCGGAGGCTCGTCTATGCGCGGCGATAAAAATTTAATTGACACCCCGTACACGAAACCGAAAGAATTTCGGCCTACGTGCGTAATATGATAATTAAGAGCCCGCGATAGATATTGTGTATTTGGACAAGCCTCTACACGTTCGAGGCAATAAAGAAAAACGAGCCCCGGATAATTATACCAATTTTTTCTTATTCTGTTCTTATCGGTTAATGATTTTCCAAAATTGCGTGAGAAATTTCGGGTGTGTCTCGTCGAGTCGTTTTCACCGAATGAAAAGCGATTATATGTAGCGATATCGGTCGTATTATGTACTGATGCAATTGTCTTGGACTTTTACGGAGTTGTGTCGAGCGCGCCTTAGATATGCATCGATCGGGGGGGATCGTAAATTTCGGCCCTCGAGTTATTAATTGCGCTAATCGATTTTTATGGTAAAAACACGCTGAAAACAAAAAGAAGATAAAAAAAAATAGAGAACTCGTCGCTGTATACGTATATATACTGTTTATATACAAACTCACCGCGACTAGACGATAAAGAGAGACCATTATCGTTACGATTAGACGAGTTTGACACCGATGCGTGGGTGTGTGTGTGTGTGTATTACACCTGCGCATCGTTGTACGTGTGTGATGAATAATAACACACATATAATACACACACACACACGCGTACCACTAATAAACAGGGTCTATATGGGGAAAATCAATATATTCAGATTGCGGAAAGATCGGAGTGAATCGACGAAGTTTCGAACGATATATTTGCCGTAATTACACTTTTTTTTTACAGCACTAATGGGTTTCGCTAGTTTCGATATCGCGGATTGATGATTGTCTCAGCGTGACGAGCTAATTTTTTGGATTACTGTATTTACACTAGGGGGCTGTGTCTAATTTTTGGGTAATAATGTAAGATATAGGGTAATATACCACTCGATAGGAAAAATTATTAACTTTGGATTGAGTACATAGAATTCACGGCTTGAAAAGCTAATATCATTTAAAAATGACATTTTCCGAAAAAAAGTTGAACTATTATTTATGATGTCATTAGATACTTTATTTCTCAAGAATTTTCGCGAAACTTTTGCATTCACAGAAGTGTCCGATTACCAAAACTCCGAATTTTAACTTCCGCCTACTTACAGTTTCACCGTACACTGCATTCTTTAACATTTCATTTTTCTTATACGTTTTAATTAATTTTTCACATGAAAACTTATTTCTTCACAAATTAATTTATCAAAAAAGGTGTTTCAACTCGTAGCATCCCAAAAACTGAACCAACGTCCGATTATCGTCGGTCTCACCCTGCAACACACATGGAAATCATTTCACGCGCTCAGCTAGAAAAATCCGATTTCACGGCGTACATTTAAAGACCATCATCGCACGTTAATGCATTATAATGCGCAATCGCGAGTCTAATACACGCATCAGCGCAGCGGCGCATATTAAGAATGACGAAATCGTAAATAGATCGGTTACACGCGCGATTATGTATATATACCACAGCTCGACAACATGTGTGTGCCAACGCATATCAAGAGGAAAAATCGGAGTTTATTACAAACGGGGAAAGTTTTGCCACTTGCGTAGTATCAAAGGCGCAAAACGCGAGATCTGCCTTTGGAAAATGACAAAAGAAAATCGTTAACGACGTGTTGATGCTCGGCGCTCGGTAGGCTCGACACGCTTTGTATCTTATACAGATAGATCGTTAATATCTCATTAGCCGCTTAGGTAGGCTCGACACAACGAGTTCGCGTGTGGCTGACGTTTCTCTTCGTGTGTATTGTATACGAGCGGCGACGTTTTAGGTGGGAATTCGCTCGCGGTGGCAAGCGCGCGGCACATGAAACACGCAGATTAGGTATAGATATAAAAGACAGAGTCCGGCGAGCGCCAGAAGTTAGATCGTCGCTTTAATCGTTCGCTAATACATCGCCCGCCGCGCGCAAGCTGACGAGAAAAGACGCGACTTACCTTTTCTTTCGTTATTTTTCCGTTTTTCTTCTCCTCGACCCGATACTTATTATTATCCGTGCAAAAATGACTTCGGCCGTCGGTGCGAGCAATAATGACGACAAGAAGATCAGTGCCAAGAAGCAGCAGTGGGTCCTCGAGAATGGCTTGGAGAAGGAGGTCGACGTCTCTCCTGCAGGTACAATCAATCAATTGGCCCATTTTTTCATCAATCATGCATTTCGGGTGTAAATGTCAAAAAGTGTGTATCGTTTACAAGTAGACACTTGCTCATTCATTTTTACGATTATTCATGCAAAAAAATTCATTTCCGTTCAGTTCGAAATACTTTTTCCTCACCCGCAATAGGCCAAATCGCTATTTCAAATCATCTCTCATATACTAAAATCGGTAATCGGCAATCGAATTCAAAGAAACAATAAAACAAAGTAAACAAAACAAAGCCGCGCAAGCGCCACACGAGGGAGGCTTATCAAAAAAAGAATATCCGAGCGTAGATTAGAAGTAATTATTGTAACGCAAAAAAAAGAAAAAAAATAGAATAACATCGTAGCGTACATGCCATTACGATTGTTTTTCCGCGATATAACTTACGCCGCGTCGGGCATATGACAATTCCTCCTCGCGCAGTAGTCTCTTATGTATTACGCAGACACTGCGACGACGAGCTTTGACATTTTTCCACGAGTTCAGCAGTTTTGTGTTTTGTATTACGCAAAGTTAAAAAAAAAGGAGATTGTCGTACACAGCATACTCACGATGATGATGCTTTGATATTTTGTCTGGCGAGATATATTATACAGTTTCTCTCTACGTAAATAACATTATTATACGTCCGCGTAAGTTTCGCACGTGATCCTTGAGCGCTGCGTTTTTTATATACACGTAAAATGTCGTTGATGTACACGCGTTAGAAAATTACATCACGATAATTATCGCGATGTGTTTTTATATTTTTTGTCTTTCGCATTTTCTATGCATATGTAATAAAAAAATACGCGCACGCATTCCGAGAATCCGCGCGCGCGCGCACGCGCTCGCGACATGTGGAATTCGATCTGCAATCCGTACTTCTGCTAAATCTCACTTCTTTTTTTTTTTTTATTCTCATTCAATATTAGTATTAAAGAGATGACGCGGATCTTTGAATTTTTATTTCGATAAATGCCAGAGATTACATATTAATTATATTACTGCTGCGTCGAGGGGAGAGAGAGAGATGGTGAAGTGCGACCGTGTATTATCGCTGCAGCTTGATCTGTTTCCTCGTACATCACATCATCCATTTCTGTATCGATGTAACTCAATCGATTTGGGCAATAATTTTAATTAATTTATTATAAAACGAAGTCGATCGTTAATAATTGTGAGAATTTTTGCAATTGCGAGAGAGTACATACTTGTCTATATTATATTGTCGCTTATCAATGAAAGCCGTGTCACTTTGGCTTTTTTTTTTGTCATCTTGTTGCACGATAATGCGCGCGCGTGTATCGTATACACCGGATTATCGCGTGTATTGTATATAGCCGCTGCTGCGTCTATATTTCGATCGACGCGTCGTTAGGTGGTGCAGCACAAAGCAGTTCGGTATAGACGCTCGACCGACGACGCGCCCGATTTATTTATTTATTTTTTTTTAATTAATATAAAAAAGTATAACAAACGAAAGTATGAAAAAAATATTGGCTTTCGTTACAGAGGGCCAGTGGGGCGTGCGCCACTTCCAGGCGTTCCTCTTCTTCCTGGGCATGTTCATCGCCTACGGGCACAGGGTCTGCTTCTCCATCGCCATCCTCGGCATGGAAGAGGTACGTTAACACTCGAATTACGTATAAATATATACACCGCAAAGAAAAATAAAATAATTCACTTTCTCTCTTCTATCGCATTCAGGATTTCGGCTGGCTGTCGCGCGAAAAGTCCATGATGCTGAGCGCCTTCTTCTGGGGCTACGTCCTTACCCAGGTACCGGCCGGTCAGCTCGCGGGTCGCTGGAGCGCCCAGAAGATTCTCGTGATCGGTATGCTGCTTTGCGGCCTGGCCACCGCGGCCATACCCTGGTTCGTCACCGCAGATCGGCCCTGGGTCGTGCTTCTGGCGCGCTTCCTCATGGGCTTCGGCCAGGGCGCCGTGCTGCCCGGCATACACACGCTGCTGGCCAAGTGGGTGCCCAAGGGCGAGCGAGCTCGCCTCGGCTCGTTCGCCTACTCGGGCGGCCAACTCGGCACGGTGGTCGCGATGCCGATCTCGGCCCAGCTGTCGACCACGGCGATCGGTTGGGCGGCGGTCTTCTACTTTTACGGGGCGTTGTGTGCCCTGTGGGCGCTGCTGTTCCAGCTCTGCGGCTCGGACAGTCCGCAGGTGCATCCGAGGATCGGCGACGTCGAGAGGCTGTACATCCTGAACAACACCGACGGCGCCTCCAATAGTTCGAACAACGCCGAGGTAATTTTTTTCTATTTTTATTGTCGCGACAAGTTGTTATTGTCGATGAAACTATGTTTGAGGAACTCCCACGAAGGGAATACCCCCGCATTATTATACGATGCAATATAAAAATTTGTTGCGCGTGCGCGCGCATTCCACCTGCCTTGGCTAATTACGAGAACGTGTACATATAATTGATAAAATCGTGTAAAATAAAAAAAAAATAATTATCGCGAGTACACGGGTGTCATATCTCTCTGTCTCACTCTCGAACGTACAAATGAATTCCAAAAGGAAATTAACCGCGCGAGCGTATTAAATTATTTTACGACTCTCTTGGTATTGCTTTACGATAATGTCAAACTCTGAAGGCTCGCGCGTCGCTGCTGATTTCTCGCGCGAATTATCGACTTGTTTTCCTGAGGCTCTTGCTCAACTTGGTATCGATTCGAGGATGGGAAAGTTTTATATTCGATTGTGCGATGAAGGTATATAAGCACGGTCGTTCAGAGGATATTTTAGTGCTGAAATGATTCAGGTCATGGAAATTTTTGATGATATTTTTTCAATGTTCTGTCGAGTGAAGATAATAGTTTATTATTAATATAGAAATCTTTTATTTATATCACAATTATATGTACCTAAACATCTTTGATATAAAATAGTTACTTATCGTTACGCTTACTGATATTTACAAATATTTGTGCCATGCTGTAAGGATGCACATTTCAATTCTTACATTAATTAAAGAAATAGATTTAGTGATGCCCATTCAAACTTATTCTATACAAGATATTACTTGGAATACGTATAAGCAAAGCATCAGTCTTTTTTTACAATCTCTGAAACGTCTTGCCGCATTTGGCATGGGGTATAGTTCCTTTTGCTCTAAGAACTCGTACAGCTTCTCTCAAATGCTTGGGTTGAAGCGGACCAGTCTCATCCTGTGATTCCATGATGTTCAATGCCTCCTCCACTATTTCACCGATAAACACCTTGGCTATGCCGGACATGGCAATGACCACGTTCTGCGAGACAGAGCAGCCAGTTATGGTCTGCATAATGCGCTTTATGGCTGCCTTGGGGAAGGCAGATCTCCTGAACATTTCGTATCTGTCCAACTGATCCTCTGTGAAATTAGAAACCAGCACTTGCATCTTTTCTCTCTCCTCCTCCTCGAGTTCTCGCTTATTTTTCTTCTCCAAGCTCTCTCTGCGCTCCAATAGTCTCTTGGGCGGTGGATCCGGCAGCGACGCTGCTGCAATCTCCTCCGGTTCATCCTGACTCTTCTTTTGATGAGGTATCATGATCTCGTCATCGAAATTGTCGCTTTTCTGCTTTTCCTCCTCTTTCTCGTCATCTTTTTTATCCTCTGTCGATTCCATCTTTTCACTCTCATCACCTTTACTCTCATCCATCTTCTCGTCCTTCTCCTCTACCTTATCCTCCACCTTAGTCTCTGCCATCGTATCGGAATTATCCTTGTCCATACTTTCTTTAACTACAGAAAAACAAATCAAGTTGTAAACACAAAATAACGCACAGCAACAAGTAACTCGTACAACATTCTAGATTATCATTACCTTTTTTTACTCGTGTCAAGTTATCAATAGATAAGCAATCTATGGCATAAGCTCGAATACCTCCGGCTCTCGTTGTAAACAATCACAATGAACAATTACTTTACTGTATCAATTGAAAAATGCTAGAAATGCCGAAGCGCGCACACAGTTGGTAAATATAACCTTGCTACAATCGCGAATTCTGACATCTAGCTTGCCAGTGTGGCTGTCTGCTGCTCTCTCTACTGCAGACTCTACACTGCTCCGACGCCGCGACATTCGCGCCGCCAGTCGTAGTTTGCGCGCGCGCAAAATTCAAAATTCAAACGTCTCACACGTTCATTTTTTTTTGTTTTTGCAGAAACCAGCCACACCCTGGGGCTCGATCTTCACCTCTGTGCCCATGTGGGCCCTCATAATCGTGCACTGCGGCCAGAACTGGGGCTTCTGGTTCCTCATGGGCTACCTGCCCACCTACATGCAGAACATCGGCGGCTTCGCCATGGAGAAGACGGGCTTCTACGCCGCCCTGCCCTACCTCGCCATGTGGCTGCTGAGCTTCCCCTGCTCCTATTTGGCGGACTTGGCGCTGCGCCGTCGCGTCCAGGTCGGCACCATACGCAAGGTCAGCAACTCGCTGGCCCACTGGGGTCCCGGACTGGCTCTGATCGGCCTCTGCTTCGTCAAGGACCAGGCCGGTATGGTGGCGCTGCTGACAGTCGCCGTGGGACTGAACGCTGGTTCCATTTGCGGCTATCAGATCAATCACATAGATCTGAGTCCGAACTTCGCCGGCACCATGATGTCGATCACCAACTGTCTGGCCTCGGTGGTGGCCATCGTCGCGCCCTTCGTATGCGCTTTCATCATTACCGACGAGGTGAGTCCCCCGATCGATTGGAAAATGTTAAATTCATTCGAATCTCGTTTTCAAAACTGATCCTTAATTTTTGCTTTATTTTACAGAAAAACGCCAGCCAGTGGCACATCGTGTTCGGCATCACCGCCTTCATCTACTTCGCCGGCAATCTGTGCTTCGTCGTCTTCGGCAGCGGCCGCGTACAGTCCTGGAACGAGCCACCGGCCAAGAGCGAAAAGTCCCAAAAGGACGAGCTGTCGACGAATCTGTAGATGACAATAAAAGACACATTGTACATATTGAATAATATTTCGCTCTCGCTGCGGTGCGGCTCGAGAGTCTCATTGTAAATAATTCATTTTTTGATATTAGTTGTAAAAAAAATTCATTGTAAATACATCATTTAGTTTCTAAGGATATTTTTCAAGTATTACACATAAGCTGATCTAAAAATGTATAAAAATTGTAAATAAGAGAATTATATAGATCGTTGAAAAAATTACATCTATCGTCTATTTAAATTCGCCTCCGACTTCTCTTCCGTCCTTTAAACGATAATATTTACCCCGCCGCGTGTATATCTAATCCGATATATAGTGCACAATTACGACATGAAAAATCAACGCACACACCGACTTTGAAGTCCAGACAGCTCGTGCACGCGTGCACACACACGCGGTATGCATACAGGCGCACGAAATCCGGAGCGATAAGGTTCGACAAATATATACATAGATGATTTTTATATTGTAAAAAAAAAAAGATCGCGATACAATTGGAAATGCGACACGTTGCTTCTGCAGCCACCGCCGGCGCGCGATTATCGGATTTTACGTATATTTGGAGTGCGCCGAATTAAGATTTATGACATTTTTATCCAACGGAGGAATTGCAAAAAAAAAAAAATATGCGGTATAAAGAGCGTCGAGGCGAGCAAACAAATAGCAATCTTCACCGGACGGCGAGGCTCTGGCCGCTCTCTCGATATTATCTTCAAACTCGGGCTTGGTCGAAATTCAAACAAAAAAAAAAGTGATTTTTTTTTTATCGCGGATGCTCGCAATCGGTGGCAGATGGACTTTTTTTCGGCCGTAAAATTACGAGTGCATTAGAGTTCGGAAGTCGACGCTGAACGGATTCGGCAGAAAAAAGTGCGCTCGTGGTCACAGCAGTTGAAGGGAAAAACGAGCGGGAGAATTACCCGCGCGTTCGAACGCACCGCATGGATTAGCCGTCGCGCGAGTTTTTCCTGCCATGACGTTATAGTTCGAAGAAAATTTTCGCTCGCGATAGTGCGCGGAAAGTTTACACGCGCGGCGAGAGAGGGACGTTGTACAAAGTGCCGCGGACGTGTATTATATACGATACACAAATGCAAATATTAATAGTGAAATAGTAAATATCATTATCTATGCGCGCGGATCGCATTATAAACCGACGATTTTTCTCCTTATCTCGTCTAATTGATCGGCGGCCGATTCAGGCTGTTTCGTATTAATTTATTGCTGCGGTCTCTGAGCGGCGATCATCGATTCGTTTTATTAGTGCGGCGGCAAGAGGGAAATGCGAACGGGTTCAAGATGAGAGCGAACTGCTTGAAACGAGGTAACGCGTGGCTAAGAGCTTACAATCGCCTCGTAGTTTTTTTATTTTTGGTTACATCGAGGATTATGTATAATATTTTTTTTTTTTATGAATACCAGTTAACATCGCCACCAGATATGTCCAGACGCTGTTCATGGCGCTGGGATTCGTCACCGCCTACGGGATAAGATTCTCCATGTCGATCGCGATCGTCGCCATGACCGACAAAAAAGCCGCGTCGTCCAACAAAGTGAGTACGGAGAGCTTTCGTTGAAAAAATAGTGCTGCCAATTCGTTGGCCCGGCCGCTTTCTCTTGAAATATAATTATTTCTCTTTTTTTTGCGTAAACTAGGGGCAACCCTAGTTGTAATCCAAAATAACTCTAATAGCAAATGCCATATAACAGAGCATCATTAAGGTGTACATTAGAATGATAGCCTTCTGATTGGGATGATGAAAAAAAACCGAATTTTTGTAAATATAAATGGACTTAAACATAATCCGAATTGACGTTTGTAACGAGTTGAATGGGTATAAAACTCCATTAAATATGAAAAGAATATTTTTTAGTAGTTATTGAAAAATAAAGGAATTTTTAAAGCTTTTTTTTCGTTGCAATTAACACTAAATGAAGAATTTAAGATTTAATTTTTTAGATAATGCTGTTTACATTACATATCTCACGTAAAGATACATGTATCTAGTTTGCAGATATATTTAAAAAATTAACCCATGATACCCCCTGGGGGTGCGCCTCAACGTTAGCAATGGGCTAATGATCAAAAATAAGAATTTAAAATATTTCGAAAGACATAAACATTAATTGGCTTGTTTTTGGTAGGTACAATTCTATAAGAATTTTTAAGAGCATTTGAAATGATCTGAAAATGACCATTCAACGGTTTGAAAAAATTTAGGCAACTTTTCAATACTGTAACGCTACTTTAAGCTTCCACCACTAGATGGCGAGTACAACTATCCGTAAAACTGTAAGTGGCAACGTCAAAATAATTGTATATAAGTCAGAGCAGTTGTTACTGTGACAGCTCTCATTTTCGACAGTTACTCGAATAAAACAATATATTCGTATGTGCGTGCTCACTTTATTGGAAATTCAAGGACAGTAGTAGTATAGTAGTTTATTGTCCTTAAACATACATAAGTGTATACAGACGAGAATAATAAGTACATAAAATTGCCCATAGGAAATTCAAGGACTCGCGCTAAATGCATCGAACGCCATCTGCCTACGTTTACTTCAATGACACGATCATCCGTCCGTCCATCCCTTTTTCTATAGGTATCAAACATGTGTTATACATGTATACATGTACAAGACAGTTCGCGTCACGACGCTGTATAGTATAAACAAAACATTGGAAGCTCGCATCGGCTGCGCAGCAAGTGATTCTCGTAAAACAAAAAGATATCTTTAATTATTAGCGATTGTTGTGTTGCATATGTGTGTGTGTGTGTGTGTGTGTGTGTGTGCGCCGAACGATGTCCAATCACAGATCCGGAGAAGGTTTCCAAGGTGGAGGTGACGGAAGCAAAAATATCCACCCTAACGATAGCAAACACGTAGTGCATCGTAACCAAACAAAATTGGAAAGATTGAAGAGCTTGCGAGAAAACGTCAACTGGGAGATCGAAAAAGAGCGAGACGAATTTCTCCGTCAACTTGACCCTTTGGTCGAAGATTGGGAGGACGAACTTCCCAACCTCCGAGATATCTTTCGACGAGACGAGATCGAACGGTTGCTCACCGATTCCTTGAAAGACGATTTACTGGAGTTCGTCGACTTCGTGGTCAGGAGCGGCTACAAAGACGAGCCCGACGTCGACGAAAACGGCAAGCCGCTGTTGCGTCGCACCACACCCATACATCACGTGGCTAGATTCAGGCCGACTCACTGGTTCGTCTCGATCCCCCGCCTTTTTAAGATATACGACAGATTCGACGCGAACTACATCGACGAGGACGGATCGACGCATTTTCACGCGGCCTGCATGTTGCCCGACTGCCGCGAGGTCGTCGCGAAATTCCTCGAGCTCGGCCAGGATCCCAACTGCCTCGCGCAGATCGCGTCGTTCGAGCCGCCGCTGCTCGTGGCTCTGAGCTTTCGCAATTTGTCCACGGTGGAAGTGCTGCTGCGAAGCGGCGCCGATCCGAATCTCGCCAGCAAGGACGGATTCACCGCTCTGCACGCTATTTTCCGGAACGACTGTCGCGGCGACGAGGAGATGATGGCGTTCTTCGGTATCCTCGAGGACACGCGGCGGACGCAGCTGCGAGCTGCCGTCGACGCGAAGGACAAGTGGGGCTGGACACCGCTGCAATTGGCCGTGACGAGCCTCTTGCCGCGCGTCGTCGACGAGCTCTTGGCTCGCGGGGCCTCGCTGAGCTCGACGAGCTTCGTTTTTCCGACCAGCGAGGTTCACTTCGAGCGTTGCTTCGACGCCTGGCTCGAGGATAAAGATCATAAATTGAGACTGGCGTCCGCCGCTCTGACTATCGTCGAACGCCTCGAAAAGGCAGGGTACGAGCTGGACCGCGGCGAGGCCCTGACGATCATGAAATTGTTCGCCAAGCACGGGATGTTCGAAGAGTCGGCGTTCGCGGACGGTCGTTGGTACAGCGACGAAAGGTTCGCGAGGGCAGCGAAAAAAATGACGATGAAAAAGAAGAACAAGAAGAAGGGCCTGTCACTCCACGATCTGATCCCGTTGAGACCCAAAGAAGCCGCGAGATTACTCACGGTCGGGGACTACTACGAGTTCGTGGGTGCCGTTAGTTTCAGGAAACTTCCAAGAGGGAGTCACGACGCTTGCGCCGTGCATCTGTGCGAAAAATTGTCGAGAGGATTTTTCCGTCGATGGGCTCTCGATTCTTTCCGGGAACTGATTCGCTATCGATTGCCCCCGGAGTGCTGCGATATTATTCTCGAGCTGCTGACGAACAAAGATTTGTATCGCGTTTGCTCGGCGGCTGCAGGACAACGTCCATGATGCGACAATGCATACAGCATAAGCATATATTTGCAGTATTTTCTAATGTCTCGTGTTATTTATTAATTTTGTTATATTTTTTATATCATTCAAATAAAAAGATTTGATGAAAAACAGTTTTAATTTTCTTAAAAATATAATACGAGTACTATAGAGCATCATATTTCTACAATGCATAACAAAAATATTCAGTCTTTACACAATAATCGTTTTCGCACTCGACGAAGAAAGTGTGCGATCTGGGAGGAGAGAAATAACAAAGGCTTATAAAATCTGCATAACAAATAGAAAGGGATTTTCTCCCGACACGGCTCGTCTACTTCGATATTCCATCTAAAGAAGTCTTGTGTGTCTCGTTTAAAAAATTTGGAACCAAACGATCTTACTTTACGACAAAATCTTTTTTCAAACGTCGTGTTACATGAAAATGGATAACGCTAGGCTCATGAATATGTGACGCATGCGAGAGTACGTGCGCGAAAATAATTGATTAATTAAGAGCATTCATCTAAAAATATTTTGTATCCGTTTAATGAAGGTTTAAAAATATCACTTCGATCCTACGTCAAACCGTACACCGAAAATTTTGTGAAAAACGAAAAAAAAAATATTTACATTTTTGGTATACGAATGCAATGACGCTATTCTAAGCTTTCGCCGCTAGATGGCGAGTACCAATATTTCAGTGAAACTGCAAGTGGGTAAGTAAAACTAGTTGTATAAGTCAAAGCAGAGTTCACTGTTTCCATCAGTAAATTTTCAATTATTTGATTTTGGGTTAGCTACCAAAGTAGAAAAAAATGGGAGGAGAACACCCGAGGTCGGAACACCACCATACCAGGCACCGGAATTAAGAACCAACAAGTATCATATCAAAGTGGACGTTTTTTCGC